AAAACAAAAATGCAGTTGAAAAAAAATTGTAGTTAAAAAGGGCATATGGGCGCAGATGTCATGAAGTCATGAAGATGAGATCGACCTACTAGGGCTGTTTTTAGATCCAAACTTCTAAATTTTTTATCACATCAACCTGTCATACACATACAACTTTTCAGTCACATCGTACCAATTTCAACCCAAACTTTCAACTTTGGAAGGAACACAGCCTAATTCAATTGAATCAGCTTCAGCTTCTGTAAAAATACAACAGTGTGGGAATCTCCTATGGAAGTCAGTCAGTATGTACTAGCACGCGGCCGGCTTGGAGCAAAACCAACGGCAGAAATTAAATCCAAATACCAAACCAGTGACTTCTGGGCAATATATGGTCATCTTTTCACATGAAACCTACACCACAGAGCAGCCAAAAATATGATTTGCAATTGCCAACGGTGCTTCTGTGCGAGTGGCATTTCATCTGGCATACAAGAATGTTGTTAGCTCATGGTGCTACTCGAGCTAATGGATAAAATGGGCTATAAACAAAGATCTGGTACTTGCTTTTGGAGCTGATAAGATCTTCAATTCTATTGGTTAGTGGCAGGGAAATGGATCGCTTTCGGCATATGTAAATTATGCATATCTTTCGATGTCAATGAACTCCCCTACCTGATTCATCACTTGTTTTTTTTGGGAGATTAGATTCACAATTTTTGAAGGACCCACCATAGTTGAAAAAACGCTAAAAATCTCCAGATTGAAGAGCTCGCTTTCCATGCTGCCCTGAAGGAAAAAGGGAACATTGCTTTCTTTTATCCTTTCCTCAGCGCGTGCCATTTTTCTTTGCAGCTTCACATTTGACATTGTGGAAGAAAACAACAAGAAAGCAACGTAGATGTAACTGTCATGGTCATAATTCCAGCTAGTGGGATCGAAAAAAGGTTTTCGTGCCGACGTGGATGAGTGATGAAGGCCCCGAGGCTGTCATCACGGGTGCGTCATCTATACCACATACTACACCACACTACCAGCAGTAACAGTAATCTTCTTCTCCTCCTCTCGACATACAGGAGCAGTTACGGATTGATCAATCCTATCCATTGCTTTTGTATATGTACTACATCGATCCAGCGTGTAGCAGCACGGCACCTTCTTCCATCTCCAAGAAAGTCGGAGGAAGCACGGCAGAAGGAGCACCGCATCTGTATAGGTCTACATTTAGAATGGTCCTGTAGTAAAGCACTCATTGCTGTAGGAGCAGATAAAGGAGCCGTTTAGGAAGCTTAAGATTTTAGGAAGAAGCTGGCTGGCTGGCTTTGAAAGCCGGTTTTTGAGAATCTGAAAAAAGTGGGTTTCCCAACTTATTGCTTCTAATTTATTTTCTAGATTCTATAATTATAATTTTTTATAATTATAATTTTTTAGAATCTTGATCAAAAGCTGAACTATTTTTAGAGAGCTTTTATTCTCAGGGCCAAAGATTCTCGAAGCATTTAACGCTAGCTAGCTAAGGCAGGTGCGCATCACGGTCACCGGTTGCCGCTCGGCGAATCCGCAATCGCGCGACGCTTGACAGCACACACCGTGTCATGGCGAACGAGCGGTGCATGGCTAGCTGCACGCTGCAGGGTTGCAACCGGCTGCGGAAACGCGCGCGGACCTACGCGTCGTCGTGCGCCGTGCGCCCCGGCCGTCGATCGTTTTCGCGGCGGCAGCGAAAGCCGAAAGGCCGGCCCGCGCGCGAGACACCGGCCGCGATGCCCCATCAGCGTCAGCAGGGGCACGTCTCCCGCCCGGATGGGGGTTGTGGCCACGCGCGCGCGCTGCGGCTAGCAATATTGGGTGTGTTTTCACTCTAAAATTGAAATGAAAGTTTAATTGAAATTAAAATAATATAATAAAAAAGTTAAAAGTTTATATGATGTGTAGGAAAGCTTTAATGTGATAAAAAAATTAAAAGTTTAAAGAAAAAGTTAGGAACTAAATTAGACCGTTGTTTTTTCTTTTGTTGGGCTCGTGGCGAAACACGAGAGACGGCGACGGCGTCACGCAGCGCACGGTGGCGGGATAGCGGAACCAGCGACGACGACGTACACGCGCGCTTCTATCTGTTTATCGGCCGGGAGGCAGGCACCTTTTCGGATTCAATGCTCGCAATAAAACGGACACCGGTGTCGTCTGGCTGGATGGATGGCTTACTCACTGTTTGTTGCCTGCGATCCACGGCTGTTTCGGCTGTCACGTTTCCAACGCTCCTTGACGCTAGTACGCAACCTTTTGGCGCCGTCTTTCTCCGGGATCAGTCGACGTGCCGATAACCTGTCCGAACGTACCGTCCGTCCGTCGCCAGCGTGCATGTATGTATCCAGGTACGGAAAATGGCAGCTCGTTTTGTTGCCTTGTCACACTTGCTGCCGGACGGGGATTGATGGGGAACTGGGCAGGATGGGGTGCCAGATAGTGAGGAATCGTTGTCGGCAAGGTTCAGCGAATGGAACTGCATGCTGATATATACGTATACGTATAGGGAGCATGGTTGGAAACTGTTTTAACAGCTCGAGTGGATGTCCACCCATTTATTGCATGTTATCTAAATGGTTATGAAAAAAATTGAAAAAATATGAATAAGATAGATCAATATGTAATGTATCAATCCACAAACATGCAAGTTAAAATTCAACTTCTACATATTGTAACAAAAAATAACAAACAAAACTCAAATTACTATATGTATATTTACACTTAAATTTGTTATTTTTGTTACGACTTGTACAAGTAGAATTTTAACTTGCATGTTTGTAGAGTGATATATTACATATTGATCTATCTTGTCAATTTTTTTAAAAAATTTTTTGCAACCATCTAGTTGACATGCAATAAACAGGTGGACATTCACTCGAGCTATTAGAATCCATCTCCAGCATGGTTCAATTATTTGGGTTCATTCAAATGGACGTGTTTATCCCGATTCAAGTCTTAAACTTAATATGGATGTTTGCGTATTGGTTTAGTTATCCTTTAAGTGATAAATGACTCGTTCGTCGATATATGGGTGGGTATGCATAGGTTTAGTTATCCTTTAAGTGATAAATGACTTGTTCGTCGATATATGGGTGGGTATGCGTACGTTGTAATTATGGTGTATGTAATATATTTCTAAAAAAAAAGCAAAAAGAATCAGAGCTGCACTACCAGACGGTACTACTACTCCCAGCTGAGTAAACCGAACAACATCACGTGGGAATAATCGTTATGCATGCTCTCTTGTCTGCACGGCTCGATCGTGGAATCAACAAATTCTGATGAATGCATTGAATTCCAGGCACGAGGAAAGTAGCATCAGGGGAGTCCAGTGAACTCCAAATTGCAATGAGCACGAGCGGAATTCTACGGGTCATCAGGCGAGTTCAGTAAACTCCAATAACGCAAAGAGCACGAGCGGAATTTTACGGGTCAGGCGAGTTCAGTGAACTAAAAAACGCAATGAGCACGAGCTGAATTCTACTGGTCTGGGAGATAGTACTCCAGTAGATAATGACGCTAAAGATGCAGGGTAATTCCATTTTCATGCCAGCCCTGGCTGATGCGACAGGCTCTATGTGCTGGGCCAGGGGGCCCTCTTCTACTACTAGGCCAACGCGTCAAAAGCTTCGTTGAGCATATGGCCCTTGCGTCTGCATAAGTGGAGTAGAGTATATGTCCTAGTGTCCCAACATGAGCGAACAAATCCAGCCGGACTTCGTCTCCGATGCAGCATCTGTCTCAAACATGTCGCCTGCATCTAACCTGTTGGTGTCCTGCCTTTTAGGTACAAGCTGTTGGCGAAAACAGCAAATGAATGGACAAAAGCCAAGCTAAACAAAGGTGTTCAATGAACCAAGTTAAACAGCTTAGCCATGAAAACCGCAGGAAGCTCGGTGGTTTTCGCTATGGGCATCATCCGACAGGTCTCTTCTTCTGCTCTGCTGCTGTTGCCTGCAAGGCCAAACGACACTGATACAGTGATGCTGTAATACTACAGCTGACAAGAGTTCCTGCAATCCTGCAGATGATACACTGAATTTAACAGGTATTCCACTTGTTTCTGCAGAATGCTGTAAGTGCAGGTCATGCCAGCTCGAAAAGTGTTACGGAGAAGTATTACTATCCTGTAATCTAGAGCACGTGAAAACCGTGACCAAACTGTCCCCGAAATTGAATGGAACAGGGCACTCGAGCAGGGTAAAATTCGTGATCACATCCAAGACGAGCATTACTGAAGAGCTCGTGCAACACGTTGTGAAGCAAGTGTAGTATAAAGATGGGCCGTGTAATTTGTTGGGCCGAGGAGATAGACAAGACGAGCATTCCTGAAAGGAATAAGTTCACTTTAGGTCCCTCAATTTGTCGCTGAATTTGAAATTCGTCCCGTAATACTAGCTGCCACGTCAGCCAAAACTGAGAGGAATATTGCATTGGGACCAAATGTGACCCGATTTTTAAGCTGAGAGACAAGTTATATCTAGTAGTATTGTGGTTTAGGGATGAATTTCAAATTGAGCGATAAAACGAGAACTTAGGGCTTGTTCACTTTGATGCCATTTTCAACCTTATCAAATTTTGGTAAAGTTGCCAAAAAAGTGGCTATATTTAGTTTGCTGCCAAATTTTGGTAACTATATAAGAAATCCTGCTAAAATTTTGGCAAGTTGCCAAAATTTCGGCAACTATGCCTTACCAAAATTTGGTAAGATTTATTTTGGCATCAAAGTGAACAGGCCCTTGTTCCTTACGGAAGAACTCGTGCAACACGTCGTGAAGCAAGTGTAGATGGGCCGTGTAATTGGTTGGGCCGAGGAGAAAGATGGGCCTGCGAAGAGGCAATGTGGACCATACGGTGGTTGGTGGGTGAACCTCGTGTGGTGGGTGGTTCAGGGGGCTCGTTTTCAGTCACGGTCGCGGATCCGGCCCGACCCGGCCCATATTCCGTCTCCCCATATCCCCCACTGCTTTGCGGGAGGACGAAGCGATCCCCAATCGGCCAATCGCGAGAGGGTGAAGACCCCTTCGTTGCTCACCTCGTCACCAACCAACCCCACCCCCCAACCCTCTCTCTCCCTCTCGGCCTCTCCGCTTCTCCGCCCACCTCACCTCGCCGCCGCCGCCGCCGTCGCCGCCGCGGCGCAGGCAGCGGAGCTCGGCGCGCCTCGGCCGCGCCGTCGTCTACCGTGCGGGCGCCGCTCCCGCGTCGCGCCTCGCGCGCGCGCGCGAGCGCGAGCTACCCTCCTCTCTGTGCATCTGGCGACGACTCGGTAAGGTTAGGGTTGTGCGCCGCCCATGCGCGCGGCTCCCTCGTCGCCACTGCCTCCCGCTCGCCGTGTCCTCTGCCACGGGCGCGGGTACCCTCCCATCCGGCGGAGTTGGGAGTCGTGCCTAGGGGGAATCTCAGCTGTCGGGCCACCGATCTACCCTCCACGGTGTTGCTCTAAGTCCGTGGTAAATATCTGCGCCCCAAATCCTTTCGACTGTGATATTTGCTTACGCGGATCGGCTGACCTGAGTGGGTTCGTGTGTTTATATATGGTTTGGATTCGCCAGATCTGCGATTGCTCTGAATTTTTACCTTAAATGTAGCACAACTCACGTTTACGGTAATATTCCCAAATGTGCTTCTGCGCAATGCCTCAATATCATGTGAAAGTGGGACCTAGATAGTAGGGGGGAATGACTTTTTGTGGCTGTGCTTGTTAGGGGATCGATCTGTGGTTTGTTCATGTTAGGGGAACTTCATCCGGTTTTTGGTTTTATGCATACTGTTATGTCTTAGTTTTCAGGGTTTAAGTGGTAATGACAAACACTATTCTGTAAAATCAATATATATTTTCTATGCATTCATCAATTAGGAGTTGTCCGTTTTGACTATTGTTGGCCTTCATTACAACACCAACGGTGAGAAAGTAAGGGTTCTTTGGAATGTGAATTGCTGAAAATTCCTTGGAAAAGAGAGAAATAATGTGCGTGTGTACGGATATGGATTGCCTAAACTTGGTGTCAAATTTTGTTGGTAGTGGTGTTTTGTGATATAATCCCAGTTTGGTTGTTTCAGTACTGGTAAAAATAGATCAGGACTTGGATTTTGGTCTTTCAGGAACTGGATGCAAACCTCAGCCTGGTATCTGAATGTGTTAGGTCAGGTTGTGTCATACTGCAATGTGTTTTCAGTAGGGTGGATTAGTTTACTCTCCCTTCTCTGAATGCTATTATACTTTTACAAACTTTGGTGCTTCTTCTCTCTTCACTGATATATCTTACCCTTGGTGCTATCATGCTTGTTTTGCATATCCATACTACGAGTGATGTCCTGTTCTTTGCCTGCCAAACGCCTTTGGTATTAATTTAAGGCATGTTTTTCCAAACATTGGCTATGAATGACCTTGGTCATTATGGATCATTGGATCCTATGAGAGGTGAATGATATTGTTTCTATATGATGTACCGTGCTGTGGTTATTGTAGTGTTGATTTTGACATCAGGCCTTCAGATCTGTTGAATATTCCACCTATTGCATCTCTAGAGTCTAAACTGTGGGATATGTTCTTACGTGCTATGATAAGATACAATACAACACATGTATTGTATTGAACCTTGCATCCTGATTTTACACTCTATGTTCTGGTTCCTAATTTAGCCTAGCCTGTTTTTTATACTTTGGTATAACTTTCACCTGGTAAAGTTGTGTGTCAGCTGTGGTTTGCTGTTAATCAGGTATAACCCAGAAAGTGGAAACATGTGTGAATAGACAGCTGCTAGCTTTGCCTGCATGGTGGTCTCTACACTTTATAATTTAGACAAACTTAAATATTACTAAATTAGGCAAACCTGCATACTGCGCATACATGTTCTGTCAAAGTTTATTATTTTTCTTCTATGCGTTGTGACCTGTCCATCTATGTACTGTATGGATATTATTATGCTTGAGAGGAGGTAGGTATGCTTTAATATCCACTGCTGTTTCTTTTACGCGTGTTAGTATTCTGAAAAGGGCAAAAACAATGTCCAAAGCCCCATGATTACATAAACGGGGACAGGTTTGTGATGTTTGATCACCTTTAAAATGCATCATAATTTCAACTTGTTGAACATACAGATTACCTGCTTTCTTCATTTCCGTGTTCAGCAGCTTTGCAATAATTTCTATGTTCATTTCTAGTCGTCTTAATGTTTATTTGAAAATTTATTTTCCTTCTATGTGCGAAATTGATGTTTTTTTTACTGTGTTCTCTTGCAGAATAGCTCTCTTTGTGATATAAATCTAAATGTTCACTTGAAGCTGGAAGTCTCTGCTGAAGCGTAGAATCGTAGATAATTCCTGCACTCAGTTTTGAGAAAACTGGAGGTCTCAGAAATTTAGCAGCTTGCTTCTTTCTTTGTTGCATCTAAGAATTGATGACCTCAGCCTTCAACGTTACTTGAAATTCAAGGTCATACCGATATGCACGCTTCGAGGATGGAACAAACTACAGGTGTTAGTGGCCATGAGCACATAATTGATATTCCAAGGGACAGTGGTCCATCTACTTCGACTTCCCATAGTGTTGCTAGAGAAAACCATGGAGAACCAAATCCTGTTGATAGATCTGCAACCAGAGCGCTAGTACCTGCTTTGCAGGCACCATCAGCAGTTGGTGCACCTAGTGCAGGACATACTTCAGGTGCTAGAAGAAGTGATAACTATGTTCGCCGGCACAGAAGCCCTTTGAATTCTGGACTCTGGATTTCAATAGAAGTTCTTGTCAATGTGAGCCAAATTGTAGCTGCTATTGTTGTGCTTTCTCTTTCAAGAAAGGAACATCCGCAAGCTCCATTATTTGAGTGGGTCATAGGTTATACAGTTGGTTGTTTTGCTACACTACCCCATCTTTATTGGCGCTATATACACCGCAATATTGTCAATGGTGAAAATGAGCCAGCACATACACTTCAAGGCTCCTCTCAGAACAATTCAACTGAGCCTTCTGCTAGTGCATCAGAGCGTCGAAGGAATGCTGCACGAAATGCAGTGCTCGCTAATCCAAGGTACTTTGTTGTGCATCTTTTGCATTAAAATTGCTATTGTGAGATCTTGCCTGTATATAAGTGATTCTTCTTTAGTTCTATGGCTAGGCTTGCCGAGTCGTGTTGTTGGCCTAGGAAAATGTTACAAGATATCAACTAGGCTAGATATGTTTTAGTGCATGTCTGAAGCATCTGTGTATGAGCATTGCAAGGAACACTATTGTTTAGATTGTTATTTACACATGTTCACAATGTTGCTATTTAAAGACAAATGCCTTTTCAGGATTAATGCTCTTTTTGACCACTTCAAGATGGCCTTGGATTGTTTCTTTGCTGTGTGGTTTGTCGTAGGAAATGTGTGGATATTTGGCGGGCGTTCTTCTGCTGCCGATGCTCCAAACTTGTACAGGTAAATACAAATATTTTTTGTGTGGATAAGATGCTCCCTTGATCTTGTTGCTGACTTTTTTCCCTGCCAGGTTATGTATTGTGTTCCTTACCTTTAGTTGTATTGGGTATGCCATGCCTTTCATCCTCTGTGCAATGATATGCTGCTGCCTGCCCTGCATCATATCTGTTATGGGATTTAGAGAAGATACAAACAATACAAGAGGGGCTACCTCAGAATCCATCAATTCTCTTCCAACATACAAATTCAAAACCAAGAAACGCCGTCATAGTTCAGGAAATGAAGCTGAAGGCCAAGATGGTGGGATAGTAGCTGCAGGGACTGACAAGGAGCGGTCACTATCTGCTGAGGATGCTGTATGCCCCCCTCCTCTCACTTTTTTTTTTTCATCTGTTGGCAGCAAACCAACTATTTCATATCGTAGTTATTTATTGTGCCTGTACCCTTTGATTTTGCAGGTTTGTTGCATCTGTCTTGCAAAGTATGCACACAATGATGAGCTTCGTGAACTTCCCTGCACACATTGTTTCCACAAGGAATGTGTTGATAAATGGCTGAAGATTAATGCACTTTGCCCATTGTGCAAATCTGAGATAGCGAGCTCATCTGGAACATCTGATACTCGTCGCTCTGACCACACAGATATTCCTGTGCAGGAGATTGAAATGCATTAGGGTGATCTGCTTTCTGAGGTAATACGGCAGAATACAGTTACTTGTGGTGACCGTGTGCTTGTATAAAGTTCAAGCTTTGATATGTGGATTGTAATGATGCATGGGGTTATTTTTGTTGCTGTTATTTTGGAGAAGACAGTTCTCACTGTCAACATACACGAGGAAATATACAATATCTACTCGTTCCATCAGAGTAGTACCCTGTGTTCTGTGGAGTTTGCACTAGAGTACTGCTACTTTCTAGTGGAAAAGAAGTCGACCAGGCCAATATATCTGGATGACTTCAGCAAGCTTTCCTATTGTACTACGCTTGCAGAAATGGCAATAACTGAAATTAGAGGTGGATATTGCTATCAAAAGTGGTACGTGCCTTTGATAACTGATTCGCTCATTCGTAACTCATTTGACGATGTTGCATGTATTCTGCACTAGATAACTTGATAACCTGAAGAAAGTATATCGTTTGTAAACTTTCCGATACCTTCCGATATGTGCGTTCTGACGTCAGATTATGAGAGTTTTGGGCTTTTATCGTACTATGTTGTGTGGTTTCTCGTCGTTCAATTCTGAAACCTGCCCTATAATACTTAAAATCCATGTACCTGTTCATCTTGCGCACGTATTTCTGAGACAATGGGCTAGTTGTTTCTTTCCTTTTCATCCGCATCCGCTGGAGAAGCCACGTCTATCTCCGAATCTCTGGAGCCACTCGTTGGACTCGCGGCTGCAGCGGTGAAGCTGCGCATGGCCTCTTGTTTCTTCCGTCCACTGTGCATCTGACTCGTGCTGCCGTTTCTCATTGTTTCGTCGCCATGCCTCTTGAAGGTTGGAGTACCTCTTGCCCTTCCTGTTACTGTCGTAGTGCTGCAGCCACCCGCGCTTCCGCCACAGAGACATGCTCCCGCCGCCGGACTCCGCCGACCTAAGCTCGTCGCGCTCCCGGTACACGAACGACGATGAGCATGACGCCCGACAGCACGCCGGTAACGAGGAACAGCCCGCCGAAGCTCCAGAAACTGAGGCTAGACGAGCCGACGCCGCTGCTGCTGCTCTGCTTGACTGCTTGTCACATTACCCTGCTTATAGCTCCGGCGTGTACTGCTCCGGTCCGCGCGTGCTTATAGCTCCTCTGCTTTACTCTCTTCGTGGAATTTCTGATGAGCAGAGGAAAGCATTGCCACCGCGCATCCGCATCGCATACTTCCGCTACGTATGCCTCCTCAATCCTCATTCTCGGCCGTGCGTGTTGTCTCTACGACACTACCGGTCTACCGCGTACGTTACACTATGCGATGCGGATGCGCGGTGGCCTCAAGGGCGGCCCTGCTGCTTCCAGTTGGGCCGGATGTTGCGGTCTCAGCTGAGAAGAGGAATAAGTGTCTATTTGCCCTTCCTCAACTCATGTCTTTGGTTGAATCGCATCCCTTAACCATAAAACCGGGTATAACCCGTTTTCTAACTCCCAAAACCGTTGCAAAACGACTCACTAGATGGTTGTTAATCTTAGCCTTATAGTCACCTTCGGCCCGCTCATGATTTGTTTACAACTGCTGATCTTTTTTTTTCATGAAATTGAGTTTTATATTAAAATGGTGAAGAAATATTTACATGCTTCCAAGAGGATGCAAAAGGAAAATACTACTCCCTCCGTCCGAAAATATAAGCACTTTTAGCATATGGCAAGTCAAACATTTTCAACTTTAACTATTAATAGAAAAAAATAAAAAAGATCAATCATGTAAGATTGATGTTACTAGATTTATCATTAAACAAATTATTATAATATATAACTCTTTTTATTTAAAACATCTTAATTTTATAGACATTGTTGATCAAAATAGTATTTCGGAGACCGTGTCAGAGTCCAAAAATATTTATATTTTGCGACGGAGGGAGTACAAATAAGTACACCCTCCGTCTAAAAAAGGCAATCTAGCAAGTACAACGAATCTAAATATATTTTATGTCTAGATTTGTTATATTAGGATGTGTCACGTCGTACTATGAGGTTGAGTTTTTTTTGTTTTGACGGAAGGACTGTTTGACCGTTAGTTTGCCGGGTGGAGGCGTGCAGCCGGATCGTTCAGTATGCTCCTGTAGTCCTGTCATCCTGTGAGTACAACTATTACAAGTACTAGTGATTTTTACATGGAAATTCATCCAGGACTCCAGACTGTCGTCCCATTTTGAAGTGTCACGGTGTTACCTGTACTCTTGGACCATTTATGCTCCCATCAACAAGAAGCAACTTGGTCTTGTCAGCTCAACACTCCACCTCCAGGTATTACTGGTGCAGATTTCAACTCTGCTCGTAGGGTAGCCTCGCCTTGTTTCTCTGTCATACTATTGTTGGGTTTGAGTTGCAGTAGTAGGCCAGCATAAAACCAGCGAAATTATGCTTGCTCCTTAAACATTTGTTAATGTAATTTAGGACACTAATGGGATGATTCCATTCATTTACACCCTCTTATACGGCGTGGAACGGAACAGTATTCTCGTACTCTGATTCTATAGGAGGACTGCAACGACTCGCGTGCTGACGACGCATCCGCTGCAATAATAAATAACGTGCTTTGCTGCCGATGACTGCTCTCAGCTGGTCGGCTCAAGACCCGGTTCAGTTTAGTGCCCTCCCAGCAAGTTGGTCTCGACATCGATCATAAGAGACTTCATGCAGCTAAACGGTATATTTCATGTGAAAATTTTATATATAGAAGTTATTTTTAAAATATCAAATAAATATTTTTTAAGTTTATAATAATTAAAACTTAATTAATTACGCGCTAATAACTTTTATGTTTTTAATGTCCTAACTTCATCTTCAACTTCATTAGAAATGATGCAAAAAAACATGGACGTGACTACACAGCTAGTGATAGCTGGTTTGTCTAAACCAACTATCACTTCATCTATAAGAGACACCATCCACCTATACTTCAAATACAATTTTCTCTTAAACTACTCATTCAATCTACGATCCGATTACACCGTTATGTCCATAACAATTAAATCTTTACATCAAGATCTCACATGATTATATTTTGATGAAAAATCATAAACTACTTTTATGATATGTCTAAATTACCTTTAGATTTTACTAAGTTACTTCTTATACATACAAAAGTAAATTCAGTAAAGCTTAAAAGTAATTTACATATATTATAGAAGTAACTTATAAAAAAAAGATAGAAAGTAACTTTGATTAATACCTTTTTTCATTGAACAAATTATCATATATTTAATTATCATATATATAAGTTACTTTTAGATTTGATTAAAATATTTCCTATACATTCATAATGCTCTGAGGTGATTACTTTTATTATTGTTTTTAGTTAATTCCATAATTTGTGCTGATTAATTTAATTTCTAGATAGAGTCATGTTTTTATCTCTATAACGGATTTACTTCAAATGACATGTCAAAGTTACATTCGTTTTGTTCTAAGTTACTTCTATAATATATGTAAATTACTTTTAGGCTTTACTGAATTAACTTTTGTATGTCTAAGAAGTAACTTAGTGAAATCTAAAAGTAATTTAAACATATCATAAAAGTAATTTGTGATTTTTCATCAAAATATAATCATATGAGATCTTGTTGTAAAGATTTAATTGTTACGAACACAACGATGTAATCGGATTATAGATCGGATAAGTAATTTAATAGAAAATTTCATAAGAAGAAAAAAAATATGCACAACCTAATAGCAAAAACTACTTGCATGCATGTACGCTAATAGTACTTCTCACGTAATTGTCTGCGTCGCTCGTTAAGTCTAAATCGAGATGCCTCTCGAAATAGATTTTGCGAAAAAACATCTAATGTTCTCCTCGTAGAAAATAGCATTAATGGAAATTACCATGCAAAGCTCGGTGCCCTTGATGGATCACTGGATCCTGAGTTCCTGACTCAATTCGTACTATATACTCTAACACCAAATTCTCTGCAGCGAACGATAAATTGCGAAACAGTAAAAAATACAGAAGGTACGTGTTAGTTCTTTGGGTGTAAAGTTTTTGAAGTATACGCATACACATTTGAAGCATTAAACGTAGTCTGATAACAAAACAAATTACAGATTACACATGTAAACTGCGAGACGAATTTATTAAGCCTAATTAATCCGTCATTAGCAAATATTTACTGTAGCATCACATTGTCAAATCATGGTGTAATTAGGCTCAAAAGATTTATTTCGCAATTTACATACAAACTGTGCAATTGGTTTTTTTCTACATTTAATGCCCCATATATGTGTTGAAACATTTGATGTGACGTTTTTGGCTAAAATTTTTTGGGATCTAAACAAGGCCAGAGTTTGGCGCCAACCTGCCAGGGTAGCTTTCAGGTATTGTACTAGGTTCAGAGTTTGGTGTGTTTAGTTCGCGAAAAGAAAATTTTTAGGTGTCACATCGGACGTTTGACCGGATGTCGGAAGGGGTTTTTGGACACGAATGAAAAAACTAATTTCATAACTCACCTGGAAACCGCGAGATGAATTTATTAAGCCTAATTAATCCGTCACTAGCACATGTGGGTTACTGTAGCACTTATGGTTAATCATGGACTAATTAGGCTTAAAAAGATTCGTCTCGCGATTTCCATGTAAACTGTGCAATTAATTTTTTAATGTATCTATATTTAATGCTTCATGTATATGTTCAAAGATTCGTTGTGACGTTTTTGGGAACTAAACAAGGCCAAAGTAGCTAGGGGTGGACAAAAAGCTCAAAACTCGTGGCTCGGATCGATTCAAACTTGTACTCTTAATGAGTCAAGTTGAGCTAGCATTTTAGCTCGCGAGCTTCTTGTTTGGCTCGTTAGTATAAAATATCATCATATCTTCATGAACTTAGTATTTCTTGACTAGTGCTTAGTCTTTTAATTACATCAAAACTATTCATATTTAGTGAGTATTATATTAGTTAGTGTTTATTATTATGTTAATACATAATAAAATGTTAAATTTGTAATTATTAATATGATATTAATGAGATATAACTCGTTAACGAGCCTAATGAGCCAGCTCGCGAGCCAAGCCGAGCTAGCCTTTTAGCTCATTAACATTAACGAGCCGAGCCAAGTTGGCTCGTTAAGACAACGAGCTCAAACGAGCCGAGCTGGCTCGTTATCCACCCCTAAGAGTAGCTGTGTTTAGTTCCCTTCAAACTTTCAAAAATTACATCACATCAAATGTTTAGACACATGCATGAAGCATTAAATGTGGACGAAAAAAACAATTGCACAGTTTGCATGTAAATTATGAGACGAATCTTTTGAGCCTAATTACGCCATGATTTGACAACGTGATGCTACAGTAAACATTTGCTAATGACGGATTAATTAGGCTTAATAGATTCGTTTCGTAGTTTACAGGCGGAATCTGTAATTTGTTTTTGTTATTAGTTTACGTTTAATACTTCAAATATGTGTCCGTATACTTAAAAAAAATTGAAATTGAACTAAACACGGCCTAGATCATTTCAAGATGACGATATCAGAATTCACAGGAAGGGAATACGGTGGAAACTACTGCAGGCACAACAACTGCGACAGTTTGTTCGCCTGTCTTACTTGGAGACTGATGTGACTGACCACATGGAGAATACTTAAACCAGACTAGAATGACGGATCTGTTTTTGCCAGATGAATTCAAAGATCAGTAGTCTCTTTCTCTGAAGGAAATGCTGGGAAATTGCAGCAGGCAGACTGAAGTATGCCTCAACTTTGTCTTATTTTGGTATGCTCTCCAGAAAATTCTTTCAATATTCACCGCATTTCTATCGCGTACACACAAGTGATGACTGACCAACATTGTTTGATCATTCACGGTTTTGTAAGATTATGCCATAGTCAGAAATGATGAAGATTGCTTTGAATGTGACTCACAAGGTCAAGATCTTACACGAATGGGCAACTAACAACCGTGAAAATATACTATCCTACCAAAGCTGACTTTGCGCATAAAAGTCTGTTTCTTTTTATTACAGGTAGATCTATGAATAGTATATTTCCCAGCATAAGTGGCAATGGCATTGACATTGCAACTCAACTATATATATTAATTTCCCAGTAGCATGAACGTCTAAGACGTTGAGATTACAATTGCTAGTAGAGTATCTGTTTATGTGAGTGGTAAGCGTCCCTAATAGGCAAACTAATTACTTTCTTTAGAAGCAAGGGAGTTAGATCTAATTGAAAAATCATTGGAACAAAGTTTGACATTACTGTGTTTAACTTGTGGTTGACAACTGAAGGAAATATCAGCTGTTCCTTTCCACGGTTCCACTTTTCATTTCGGTACCACGTTGCTTGGTGTTCTTTCATCATTTTTTATCACTATCATAATTTCCAAAAATAAATATGTTCACTGCTCGGTTCACAGTACTATTTACATAAATTTTACCATCCTTAAAAGTTATTAAGAGATATCAAACTTTACACTAGGAAATATATTTTCTTTTGATACCTTCTCAAAACTGTAAAATCACTTTAAAATTAAATTTTAGAGGGAGATGCCTCATGAATTGATACAGAGGCCGGATATTAAAATGTAATATTTCATATCTAAAAAGATGGCATTCTGAGTTGTGACCTGCATTAGCCGCTTACATTAAGAGGAAGCTTACAGATCTAATGCTCCATTATTATGTCCTAGATTTCTTTTTTTTAGAACTATGTCCTAGATTTCCAAGCGACCGGGTAGGTATACACATTAAAATGTTCTGTTAGATCGAAATTTCCAACTACCATAAAAAAAGTTTTCTTCTCAGCAGACTGTGTAGAATATTCAGATGCTCGTTCCATTTTAGAGCGGAAGATTCTGTCTGCTTTTCTTGACTTTTTGCAATAAGACATCCTCTTCAGAGCAAGGTAATCAAGGACTCAAGGTCTTCATAGCAAGGTACAGGCAGCATTGTTCCAATACTTCTGTAATCGGAACTCACAAGCCAAGGGCACGTTTGATCTAGATTATGGAACGGATTATTACTACGGATTATTTATTTATTATATTAGGGTAAGTTAAATATTTTGAGAAAAAAAAACATTGACAAATAACCAATGCACGCATGAAGCGAATAATTCAATGAGACTAAGCTAAGAATAACAGAGCCAAGGAAGAGAGAACTGGAATTCTGCACGTTTGAGAGCTCAAAATCCATGCCCACATTGTCAAACATACACCTGTTCCAAAGCGCGTACCCACTGATGGCAACTGTTAAACTAGCTCCAATTGTTTTGTAGCCCATCAGCTCGTCATTGTAAAATCGCAGCATATTACTTACAGTTTACAGCACATATCATCTGGTGTAGGCATTAACTGCAACTCGAGTCATTTTCTTCTTCTCAATCAGAGTCAACTGACCAACACATAAGCCCAGACCAAATAAAGATTAAGAAGTATAGACAAAGAGGAAAAAGAAATGATTAACATCACCATTGGCTTCGGTAATCGGTAGCTCGGTCGCTGAGTTTTCCCCGTACAGACCATATGTCCCGCGACCTCGAGTCCTCCTTTCCACCGACCCTTCCGACCGGTTCTTCCGGTGCCACGCACTCACCGAGCAGCGCAGCAAGGTCAAGTCAACAATGCAAGCGACGGAAAAGTCCCGTATTATTTTTAGAAACACAAACACAGCACTTATAACACACACTCACCTATATAAACACAGCCCCCCCCCCTATCAGCATATCTTGAAATTGACGAAGTTACCACGAGCATTTCGTCGAGGCTAGGGTGACATATCTTAAGATTGATGAAGTCACCACGAACGCCTCGCTGTCGACGAGTACGTTTTCTACCCCACTGAAAGAATAATTATATGCGCATATATTTATATTAACGAATTCATCATAGGTATCTCATTGAGACTAGACCGACATATTTTGAGATTGACAAAGTTATCATGGATGTCTTGCTGTCGACGGGTATATCGTTTATTACTGAAAAAATAATTAGCATTCGTGTCAAATTTAGAACTTAATCGGATGGACTAGTTGAAAAAAAAACTATCCCGTAAAATTTTTATCCGTATATAAAGCTACTGCCGCGTTGGACTGCGGCGGCAGCGCACGGCGAGAGCCAGAAAAATCTGCAACTGCTAGTGCGAGTGCAAGTGGTGGTTGCTGAGAGCCTGATATTGTGATGCGGGTGTAGATGGCGAGGCGGTCCTGCTTCTTCTTCCTCCTCCCGCTCCTGGTTGCGGCGCTCGCGGGGAGCCCGGTGGTCACGGCCCAGCGGAATGCGCTGCCGGCGGCGGCGGCGGCGGCGGCGAGCGTCCGGGTCGGGGTGATCCTGAACTTGACGTCGGCGGTCGGGGTGAGGCGGCGGGTCGGCATCCAGATGGCGGTGGAGGACTACTACGCCGCGAACCCCGGGTCGGCGACGAGGGTGGAGCTCCATTTCAGGGACTCGGCCGGGGACGTCCTCCCCGCCGCTTCCGCCGGTAAGCTCGCCGCCTCTCCCATTCCTTGCTCGAACTAATCAACTAACTAATGATGCTTAGACTACTACTAGTACTAATTTATTACGACGCCTAGTTTGTTTGACGGCTTGAATGGATAGTTCGCAGCGATTTCCTAGAATCAATTGCTGATGGCCTGATTAGCTATGCTCTGCTCTGCTCATATGTGGGTGAATTTGCACAAAACGTCGAAAATATCTGCAAATTTAAGGAGTTTTTTTGTTCGTTTTATATAGTCGCGTGTGGGTTTGAGTCCTTTGTAATCCGAGCCAGTAGATGTTGTTCGTACGTATATGTCTACATCGCATGATGCATAAGCATCTTGATGCAGATGATGCAAAAAAAAAAAAAAAGCTTCATAGCTGCCATTGTCATGTTGTATTGTCAACTGTGCTCCTGAAATTATGTAGATATGTACGTTCTTTTGTTTGGCTGTCGCTGATACTCCCTTCTATCATAATAGTTTCTCTTGAAAACGTTGAATTAAAACCCTTATTAAGCTTTTGCAATGATATGCTCGCATGCAAAGGGTCTTGTTGTCTTCCTTGATGCTGACCCAACTGATGTTGTCAAGAGAATATGCCACCTTGTCTTCAAATCAACGCCGGAACAGGAGGACAGATTAGACATTAATTAATTGTTTTTGGTAATCCCATTTCTGTATTAGGATCTCAGCTAATCAGTCTTATATTGTTCTGACATTTCTAACCTCGAATCCACTAGTCATAGACCCCCAACTCTCACGTACAATTGTACTCCCTCCGTTTCAAAATGTTTGACACCGTTGACTTTTTAGCACATGTTTGACCGTTCGTCTTATTCAAAAAATTTTGTGAAATTTGTAAAACTATATGTGTACATGAAAGTGTATAGTTAACAATGAATCAAATGATATGAAAATAATAAATAATTACTTAAATTTTTTGAATAAGACGAATGGTCAAATACATACTAAAAAGTCAACGGTGTCAAATATTTTGAAACGGAGGGAGTATATACTATCAGTTTTGTCAGAGTAGATACGTGTCTATATGAGATATGCTTGTTTAGAGACCTCCATTGCTACTTGTCTACAATATGCTACAGCTCCATGCATGATGCATGTCGCCTTCTAATTTGTTTAATCACTTCGAGTTGGACTAGTAGTCATCTCTACCCATTAAAATCACGATGGCACGTACCAACGATTTGGTCCGGTTTATGGTGTTCAAACCAGGCTTGATTTGAGTCAAGTGTCAAGTACACGAAATCTTGATGCTTGAATTGTTTAGCTGGTCACAAGTTCTATATAAAGTCTTCCTCGAAATAAATTGTCTCGTCACAAAATGTCAGTGGCCATGAAGGACATGACGATTATATTAATAAAATTTAAGGATGCGAAGAGGACGTTTTAAAATGTCAATCCCTTTCGTTGCTGACCTAAAACTCTCGCATACGTCCTTAAGTTGTAAAACTGAATCTAATTTCCGAATGTAAGCAGATAATTCTAACCAAGTAACTTCGATCAGCTGACAACGATATTGAGAAGATTTTAGCTGAAGATGCAGACGTCTGTGTGAGTATGTGTAGTGTAGGGATAAGAGAAACCTGTGCCATTTGCGCGTTTTGCGCGATCGGATTTGGACGACGTGGAGTTCTGAATTTTCCAAAGCGTGTGGAGTGAGGCCATTGGCTCCAGCATAGACCATAGACTTACTGTAGAGATGGTCAAGTGCAGTTTTTAATGGCCCTGAAAAAATGCCATAATTTGTATAGATATACAAGGTCCTTTTCAGTTTGTGACAAGTCGTTCTTTTGTCTATTAGTATCACATGTCAGCACCCAGCAGTAGCATTCATGAAAACTGTGTAGTGTACACTGTACCATTGCTTCTACTGTACTCCTAAGTTCTAACTGGAGTAGAATTATCTGGTAGGGTAATATTATGAGTCATCGTATGATCAAGACTGCCAATTGTGTTAGTGTATAATTATCTGGTAGGGTAATATTAGTGTAGACTGTGTATTATCAGGAGGACTGAAGGAACAAAATAGAATCGTAGTTGCAGTCCAGTCACCCCAGACTCTGCTTTGCACCTAAGCTACTCCCTCCGTCCCATAATATAAGAGATTTTGAGTTTTTGCTTGCACTATTTGACCACTTGTCTTATTCAAAAAAAATTTAGAATTATTATTTATTTATTTTGACTTACTTTATTATCTAAAGTACTATAAACATAACTTTTCGTTTTTTATATTTGCACAATTTTTTTGAATAAGACGAGTGGTCAAACAATACAAACAAAAACTCAAAATCCCTTATATTATAGAACGGAGGGAGTACCATTTTTGCCTGATCTGGTCTAAATCTGGGTCAAGGAACGTCTCACCGAAAGAAGAACCTGGTGTTCTTTCTTTAGGTTTTGATGCCCAATATCTGTTCATACCAATTTGTTCAAATCAAGCATCGAACCCCACTGAATAGTTGCTTTTGTTTTGATTCTTCTGTTATGTAGAGTTGTTCATCTTTTAAGATTTTTTTTTTAAAAAAAGAAAGCCATATCAATGAAATGATCTAATTTCGAAAAAATAACTGATTAGAATGCTAGAAATGACTTGACTTCGCACCAGTAATCAATAATAAGTGATATGCATCAAGTTGATTAATGATGCAATAAACGGTATCAAAACTCTTTTCACAATTGATAGTCTCAAGAACTGTCAGATTAGAAGCTGAAATAACTGTCAGATCAACAACTTTCATAATTGATAGTCTCAACTGCGAAATTCTTGGCTCCAATTTCTGAGCGGCTGCTCGTTGTTGTTGCTGTCGTTGCAGCGGTGGACCTGATCAAGAATGTGCAGGTGCAGGCCATGATCGGGCCACCGAGCTCGGCAGCGACCGAGTTCGTCGCCCACATCGGCAGCCACTCCCGCGTCCCCGTGCTGTCCTACTCCGCCACCTCGCCGTCGCTGTCCCCCGCGCAGACGCCGTTCTTCGTGCGCGCCGCCGTCAACGACTCCTTCCAGGCCGCGCCCGTCGCCGCCGTCCTCGACGCCTTCCGCTGGCGCGCCGCGGCCGTCGTGTACGAGGACTCGCCGTACGGGAGCGGCATCCTCCCGGCGCTCGCCGACGCGCTGCAGGGCGCCGGCGCCAAGATCATGGACCGCACGGCGGTGCCCGTCGACGCCACCGACGACCGCCTCGACGCGCTGCTGTACCGCCTCAGGGCGATGCCGACGCGCGTGTTCGTCGTGCACATGCTCCACAACGTCGCCGGGAGGCTGTTCCGCCGCGCGAAGATGCTCGGCATGATGTCCGACGGCTACATCTGGGTGGCCACCGACGGCGTCGCCACGTTCATGGACAGGTTCTCCCCGGAGGAGGTCGACGCGATGCAGGGCGTGGTCAGCCTCCGGCCGTACGTGCAGGAGACCGACGCCGTCAAGAACTTCTCGGCGCGGTTCAAGGCGAGGCTACGCCGGGATCACCCCACCGTCGACGATGTCCGTGAGCCGACCGTCCTGAGGTTCTGGGCGTACGACACGGCGTGGGCGATCGCCGCGGCGGCGGAGTCGGCCGGTGTCGCCGGCCCGGCGTTCCAGACACCGCAGACGAGCGCGCCACTGACGGACCTGGACCGGCTCGGCGTGTCGGCCACCGGCACGGCGCTCCTCAACGCCGTCCTGAGCACGACGTTCGACGGGCTCGCCGGCAAGTTCAGGCTCGTCGACGGGCAGCTCCAGCCGCCGGCGTACGAGGTCGTGAACATCATCGGCAAGGGCGCCAGGACGGTCGGGTTCTGGACGCCGGAGTTCGGGATCACGCAAGACCTGAACGCCGGCAGCGCCAAGACGCTGAGGCAAATCCTCTGGCCCGGCGAGCCGCGCGACACGCCGAGAGGCTGGACCGTGTCGCCGAGCGGGCTGCCGCTCCGTGTCAGCGTGCCGACGAAGCGGGGCTTCACGCAGTTCGTCGACGTCGGCAACGTCACGGCGACCGGGCGGCGAAACATCACCGGCTACTGCATCGACGTGTTCGACGAGGTCATGAAGATTATGCCCTATCCGGTGAGCTACGTGTACGACCCTTACCCCGATAGCCCGGAATCTTACGAGAAGCTCGTCGACCAGGTGTCGTCACAGGTCAGTACATGCCAAAGTTCAAGAGTTCTTGAGACAATCTGTTCGTTTGATTTGTTCGATCAGAGGGACGTGGATTTTCACCCACTCGTTGTTTACATATTATCTAAATAGTTAGCAATTTTTTTTAAAAAAAATGATAACATGGATGAATATGAAATATATCACTCCACAAACATGCAATATCAAATTCGATTTTTGTTAGTTGAAAAAAAACAAATTAAATTGAAAATAGTTGTAGCTCATTCACATATGTATTTGTTATTTTTGTTGCAACTTGTAGAAGCTGAATTTTAACTGTATGTTTGTGGAGTGATATATTTAATACTAATCTATATTGCCAATTTTTTTAAAAAAAAATTATAACTATTTAGATGACATATACGAAGTATGAAATCACTTTACCCGATCAGAGTGGTTGAATTGCAATGTTTGGTTTGCAGAAGGCAGATGCGGTGGTGGGGGATGTGACGATCACGGCGAGCAGGATGGAGGAGGTGGACTTCACGATGCCGTTCACGGAGTCGGGGTGGTCGATGGTGGTGGCGGTGCAGAAGGAGACGAGCACGAGCATGTGGATCTTCCTGCAGCCGCTCACCACCAGCCTCTGGCTCGCCAGCCTCGCCTTCTTCTGCTTCACCGGCTTCGTCGTCTGGGTGATCGAGCACCGCATCAACGAGGAGTTCCGCGGCACGCCATGGCAGCAGTTCGGCCTCATCTTCTACTTCTCCTTCTCCACCCTCGTCTTCTCCCACAGTACGTGCTTGCATCCTCCTTTTCTTCTCTAGCTCATTTCTACTCCCTCCATCTCTAAATATTTAATACCGTTAACTTTTTTAAGCATGTTTAATCGTTTGTCTTATTCAAAAACTTGAGTAGTAGTACTATATTTAACAATGAATCAAATGATATGAAAATAATTAATAATTACTTAATTTTTTAAATAAGACGAATGGTCAAACATGTTTAAAAAAGTAAAACATGTTTAAAAAAGTGAACGGTGTTAAATATTTAGGGATGGAGGGGGTACTTTCTACTACCAATTCAGCAACATGATTTTTGAGTGGCGATTTCAATTGTGTGTTTTTTTAGAGGAGAAGCTGGAGAGCAACCTGTCGAGGTTCGTGGTGATCATATGGGTGTTCGTGGTGCTGATACTGACGTCGAGCTACACGGCGAGCCTGACGTCGATGCTGACCGTCCAGAAGCTGCAGCCGACGGTGACCGACGTGAGGGAGCTCCTGAGGCGAGGCGACTACATCGGGTTCCAGGAGGGGACCTTCATCGTGCCGGTGCTCGAGAAGATGGGCTTCGAGGGGAGGATGAGGAGCTACAGCACGGTGGACCAGTACGCCGACGCGCTGTCCAAAGGCTCGGCGAACGGCGGCGTCGCCGCCATCTTCGACGAGATCCCCTACCTCAAGCTCTTCCTCTCGCAGTACTGCAACGGCTACACCATGGTCGGACCAATCTACAAGACCGACGGCTTCGGGTTCGTGTTCCCGAGAGGGTCGCCGATGGTGGCGGACGTGTCGCGGGCGATCCTGACGCTGGCGGAGGGGGAGAAGATGGCGCAGATCGAGAAGAAGTGGTTCGGCGAGCCCGGCGCGTGCCAGAGCCAGGGCAGCGCCGTCGGCTCGTCGAACCTCAGCTTCCGGAGCTTCGGTGGGCTGTTCCTCATCACCGGCGTGGTCACCAGCGCCATGCTCCTCATCTACCTCGCCGTCTTCTTCTACCGCGAGCGCGACGAGCTCCGTGCGGCGGAGGCGGCCGCCGCCGCCTCCGGCTCCGGCTCCGGCTCCGGGAGCCGGTCGCTGCGGCGGCTGCGCGCGTGGGCGCGGCACTACGACCAGAAGGACCTCAAGTCCCCGACGTTCAAGAGGAGGTGGAGCGACGAGTCCGTGAGGAATGGCAGCGAGTACGCCGCGAGCCGGACGCCGAGGTGGGGCGACGAGAGCCCGTGCAACGTCGCCGGCGCCGCCGACGCCGACGCCGGACGGATCCCGGAGGAAGTCGTCGGCGGCATGAGCCCGTTCAGCATCTCCACGAGCTCGGAGGAGAGGAACGGCGCCGTGTCTCCGGCGGCGGCGGAGTTCGATAACTCGTCCGATCGGGCAGCGGTGGTGGCGGGAACATCTCAACCGCGGTAGATGTACATGTGACATGGCAAGTTCTCCCAGTAGACGTGTCCGGTAGGATATGAACATTGACAGGTCAAGTACAAGTAGTGTGCAACCGTCTCCTCGCCTGTAGATAGATCCTAGTACTACTGTACTACTACCAGTAGATGAGAAATTCAGCAACTTGACCGATGAAGCATTGGCAGTGGCTTTGTAAAGTGTAATATGGCAACAATAATATGTGATTAATGTAGATGTATTTTGGGAATCAAATACATACATGAAAGCATGTTCATCGGTATACTACCTCTTAACTACTTAAAAAATTGATAAATTTCCGTTCGTCATACTTATTTTCCCTAAACACATCTTAGAGACTAAGCTTATATATCTTAATATTGACTTATTGTCGATAAGAAGCAGGGCATACATGCACTCATGTTAAGTTTAGTACTTAAACCAGCTAAAAAAATTGATAAATTTCCGTTAGTCATACTTATTTTCCCTAAACACATCTTAGAGACTAAGCTTATATATCTTAATATTGAGTTATTGTCGATATGAAGTAGTACATACATGCACTCATGTTAAGTCTAGTACTTAAACCAGCTAAATAGGTTCTACTACATTCCACTCACTGGGCGACACTCAATTCACAACCCTACCAGAATTTTGGCATTGAAAATAGCGACAAACTGAACATATCCTCAGTTCAAGCCCAGCAGCAAAAGATTTCCAAATTGGCATAACAGGAGGGGAAATCTGAGTAATTTACAGTACATTGTGTTTTTCCACTTGATTTTTTTTGTTTGTTTTGACGGTAAAAATACATTACAAATCAAGTTATATTTGATTTCCACTGAAATAACCTACGACACAACATAATTTATATGATACAACAGTACATTTTGCCCGATTGTGCTCCGGCCATGGCTAATCCCTGCAGCTGCTCCCGAACTATACATAATCTAACGATCTAGAATACGACCCTGGTATGAAATGCAAAACTGACGACCGGTGAGTAGGGAGCTATCAGCAAACGAGATGCTGTACAGAGCAGAAAAATGAACTTTCAGGAATATTACCTGATTGAAATCGGGGAAGATCTCATTGCTCCCCATTTATCATCAGAGAAGGGTAAGGAACTTTGTTTATCTCGATAATGGTTGACTGCTCCTGTAGGAGTGGTTGTTTCCATGGCTCTCCATCCATCTGAACATACGCACGATTCCATTGGCCACCCCTCATTTCAAACTTGATGGCTGCAGCCTGATACATGGCAGCGGTTTCAGAGGCCAAGGTATTATAAGTTCATGAAGACCAGAAAAAAATTTTGAAGAACATCTCCCAGTCTACCTAATATTCAGAACATTTTCTACTCCAAGCAAATCTTGTGGTGTTTGAGCTTGTTATAGACAATGTGGATTGCATGAAACACTTGAGGTTTCATAGTTTTTTTTTCCCAACAGACCATAAGATCCCATATGGGCATCCCAAATTCCCATAGAGCAATTCCTTGCCAATACTCAATAGAAATATAGTGTGCCAAACAAATGTAAGTACCTGAGCAATGTGCTTTGCTTTAATTAGCTCAGCCATAACGAATGAAGCATGCCAACCTTCTTTCAGACCGAATATTTCAAGCAATCCATCATCGGAATGAGCTTCGACAAAACCTTTCTGGGATTTGGAATAGAATAAAGCATCATTTTGTTTCCAAAAAAAGAAAAAGATGAACACATAATTTGCATATAAATGCAAATACCGCATGCGCATTCCCATTAAATGCAGCTGATTCTAGCTACTGCATCAACTAAACTGACAGAACGATTTCTTAAATAATACATAATTATTTGAAAGAATACTGAGCAATCATCCATGATGCAACTTTATAGTCATAGAAAGCCCTACATAAACAAACTAAAATTGAGAGAACATATGCAATGAACATGATAAATGTATATTAACTACTAACCTTTTCAAGGTAATCAGGTTTAAGATCACCCCATGGATGCCTTCCACTGCCGTAGTTGTATAAATTTAAGACCACCAGGGATCTAACACTGCAGTTGGGAAAAGAATGCAAGCTGTGAAATACAGAACCGGATTCATACAGCACATTCAAAAGAAAGATGAGAACAATAGCTACTTAAGTTCCAAACTTCTCCCAAATGGGAAGATAATCAATTCAACTTGTATGTCCAGAATTTATTATATGCTGACATTTCTTCCGAGCTTCATAACAGTATCATAGCACACATTACATTCTGAATGCCTGACACACCAGGTCACCAGCCAGTATGTACAGGAATACAGGATCAGAATTTCATGCTTCTGGTATTTTTAGAGAGTTTTTCACTACTAGAATGTTTGGGGCAGAAGGATGAAGGGCCACTAAGACATTCATATATAGGAACGTAGTAGTATCTTTAAACTTTTGGCATCACACAATTTAGGAAAATATGTAAAATCCTACAATCATATTTGAACCTATTGTATTAATCTTAATTACTTTTTTTTCATATTTTCAGCTGAAGATTTGTGAACACGGGTCAGCATGGCATCAGGTCATGTATATGCATACGTTGTCCGTTACCAAGTGTCATCCATTATCCCTAGCTTATTACTTACACTAGTACTATACCCGTTTATTGCAACAGGATCTGGAGTAATACGGGGTGGGCCGGTTTGGTTTTTTACAGGGTGGGCTGGTTCGGGTTTTTACGGAATATTCTCGCGTTGCACGGGAGGGAGGAAGACGACTGCGTATTTAAAGTAGTCGAGATTTAACAAAATGTCAGCATCTCACAGAATTGTTGAGTGATTCTTTTAAGGATCATAATTGTTTAAAAGCCTTTTTTTTCATATAAAAGAAACCAACAACTTGCCTTGAAGGCATTGTAACTTGCTCCCATTCAGAACAATTGACTTTTTTAATGTAAAGTCGCAAAATGTTCTTAAGCCCCCTGCAACAACAAACCATTCTATCAGCTTCAAACAAAGATAAAGAGAAGTGTGCAAACAAAGGAAGAATATCATAGCATAGCTGTAATTTTATTAAACCATCAAAACATGGAGAGAAAAGCTAAAGACATAGTTGATTGCTATTGCATCATGATTAGTGCCATGGGCACATGAAATTTTTTTGGATAATGATGGACACATGAAACTTGAATTCATGTCGTCAGATGTTAACTAAGAACAAATTCATCACGATGTTTAGATCCATGATATATCTTAGAAGTTTGGTACTCCCTCCGTTTCAGGTTATAAGACGTTTTGACTTTGGTCAAAGTCAAACTACTCTAAATTTGACTAACTTTATAGAAAAAAGTAGTAATATTTACAATACCAACATAGTTTCATTGAATCTATAATTGGATAAATTTTCATAATATATTTGTCTTGGGTTAAAAATATTACTACTTTTTTCTAAAAAAATAGTCAAACTTAGAGTAGTTTGACTTTAACCAAAGTCAAAACGTCTTATAACCTGAAACGGAGGGAATATATCAAATGATCAAAAAATCCTATAATTAACCTAAAATCATGGCAGCTTCCGGATTCTTGAGTGGATCAAAACAAAACTGCCTGACACCATAAAGTTCGGACTTTGGAGCCATTTTAGAATCCATGGAAAGGCAGGCTGTCTTTATATACCTTAACTGAGGGCTTGCTGTACAAGGTGTGCAGAACCACCCCTGTGTGCAGCTATAACCAGCATATATCAACTGCACGAGAATAAAAACAAAGATCATTACAAGAATCATTTATAAGATAAACATGACTGTGATACCAACAACTATGTTACAGAAACTGAGATTATTCACAAAAGCATACAAATAAGACATTGAAGCTGGGTTATTTCTTTTTTCCAATTTCAAATATGTTATATAAGCGGTGTCTCATCTAACCCATGTATCAGGTATGCACAGTAGGTTTCGTAGGATAATAGAACATCCGGAACTTACTGTAAAATGAGGGTACATAAACACAAGTTTTGTGCATGTGTGGGAATATGTGATCTATCAGCTGTCATACTTATCTGCTACTTATAAAATATGCAAGTGACATAATGACATTTAACTAGAACACTCTGAATGCAAGGACTTTTAAGCTAATTAACAATACAGAAATAAAGAAAATCTGTCAGCAACTCAGCACCTTATTTGCAACAGGCCCTTGAGCAAGATATGGCTTTTCATCACGAAGATGGTGGAAGCCATAAGCAACTTGGGCATCCATCCCTGTTCAATATAAAATAAGGAGCACTCAGCGATGACCAAGATTCCAAATAATTGCAAGAAGCCATAAGATTCACAAGAGAAAAATCATTAAACAAGTATTAATTTCTTGATGAAACTTAAACGATCATTACATCTACATGTCCTACAACTTTATGTCATTACAGCAATTAGGAACACCATCTTAAGTTTTAGTTTATTTATGTCACTCAGAATTTCAAACGACCAGCTGAAATACTAATTTGTCATTTTATTGAAAGTCTAATCACATGGGAACTAAAGCAAAAACTTAGAACCTAGTCACCTAACCACCAATTTATTAACCAGATGGTCTGAATATTAAAGATCTCTAGCATAGGCAGGATAGAGATAGGATTTATTTCATGAGAATTAATGCTTCTACCAAATGTAATCACCATGTAAAGTTCATGGGAAAAAAACAGAAGGAACAAATAAAAAAGGTTGATTAAGGATTACCAATGCTAAGGTAGTTGTAGAATACTCCTTTATAGCAAGAAGCTTTCTCAGGTAACTCAGTGCCATTCTCCTGCACAATATTAGATTTGGTCCTTTAACAAAACCATATGTATTAACATGTTCATCCGAGAACATTCACAAAAAAGGAGGCGGTGTGATGTTTTTTAAGCATTTATTGATAACTGACAGAGGAAAACAAAATGCTAGAGCAATCTATCGAATAATTATATGGACAGGACTACATTGTTGGTGAGTATCTCGTTCTTCACAACAAATGTTAATAAAGTCCACGAAACAGCAATAATCGCATTGGATTACAACACCAAGCACAGCATACAAAAACTACTACACATACTTAGTAAGCAGAGATATGAATAGCATATATGCAACTTGAAGTACTATTGAAAATAGTGAAACATGAACTATTTGAATTATTTCTGGCCTAGATAGCATATAGTGTCATTGTATAACTCAACATACAAATAACTTTCTTCAGGTTTATAGCTCCATTGCTTTCAAATAACTTAATTAACTAGAGTACGGAGTGAATAGTGAAATATTAATAGCATATTAACTATTGCCCTTATTTTTATAACTTCAAAGTATATTACTCCCTCCGTTTCACAATGTAAGACTTTCTAGCATTGCCCACATACATATATATGTTAATGAAACTAAACACATACATATGCTTAGATTCATTAACATATAAATGAATGTGGGCAATGCTAGAAAGTCTTACATTGTGAAACGGAGGAAGTATATATTTATTTCAGAGCAATAAGGTGAATTTATAGTCAAAACCTGGCAAAGTTCCAAGCAGTCTGCAGGTTCCGTTTTCTTAAGTGCATATGGCAACTCTTTTATCTCTCCATCTGGCATCATAACTACAGCTTGCCAACTGCATGAACATTACTGTTTCTCAGTGCAGAAGTTGATGAAGCACCTTTTCACAGTTACTATGAACTTGATAAAAATCAGCAGTACAAAAACTGATAATTAACATATCAACACCTTACTCTGCCTATTTACTGTGAGTGATCATCTTGTGTGTTCACACACTGAATTACTTAGCACAAGTATAGCAGATAGGTGATCACAATTCATATGTTTTATTCAGGAGGGGAACCATATTCTGCAAAGCTAATCATTATTCTGTCCAAGTGAGCTAGCAATAAAAAGGGGAGCTGATAAACGACCAATCATCCCTATCTCACCTGTCAAGACTGCAGGTGGGAGCTGTAGCTGCCTTGCTGAGATAACGCTTCACAGCTGAACGCCAACCAAAGGGAAAAGAGCCACCCTGTTCATATGCTTATTAGTTGTAGTATGAGTGAATCGCTCACCTTCCCTCAAAAGCTTAGTTAACACTGTAAATTACAAAGAAAGGATATAAATAGAACAATTGCATCATATATGGATCCTTACCCATCCAAATGATCTGGCAAGATCATTTCCTGTACCAAGTGGGATGATACCTGTGGGTGGAACTGGTTCTCTTTTCAACCTATAAAGATCTGTGAGACAGCCAAGTACCCAACCAACTGTGCCATCACCACCAGCAACCTGTCAGAAAGAACTAGTGCAAGGATGTTATGCAAAGTAGTTGGAAGACAATGAGTAGCCAACATAGGAGAAATTCAGTAAATAAGGAAAGAACAAGGACACCCTGTCATAAATTATTTTATAAGTAGATAGGATAGTAAAGGAAGCAACAACCTTTCATAAGTTTTAACAGATGCTAATGCTTGACTACTCAAACGTGCAGAGAACTCTAAACTTATAACAAATGCAGTACCCCTAATAAAGTCCATTACACACGTACCATAATCCTCAATTTTTTTCGAATGGTCTCCGCACAATTGTCACCTTGTTCGGCCAATTTCTCCAAACAACCCAACCCGTAGTTAATGAAATCAGAAGGCTTCACGACAGAGAGATCAAAGACCTGGAAATAGTTTCATCAGTATGTAATATTGTGTCCCAGAACATACAAAAGGATAAGGAAAAAATTCTGAAAACATGTGTGAATACATAAAGTGATCAGTTGATCATATTAAAAAAACAGTTACGAATAATCTTCAAAGTGTAAGTGCAAAATGCTTACATAGGACATCCTCAGGTTCCAAACATTGATACATAATGAACCCAGATAAAATCCAGTAATTCCATGTTGAGCAAAAAAAAAAAAACTCCGTAAAAGATAACAGTACAATCAAATGACTGTATTCTATTGGAATAGCATGTCAAGCCAAAAATTAGAGGCCGCCGAACTAGTCTCCAGCCACTTACACCTCAGAAGCAAGCATGGAGCTAAAATTCTGATGTTTAAACTTTTGATCTTCCCTCCCTGCCAACCTGCCGCTTACCATCTTCAATATTTTTCTTCATCCCTCCATATCAACAAAGTTCCAGGGCCATGCGAGAAAGTGAGGCACAAATGCACAATCTGCTGGAGGCTGAAGCTTTCACAACACCTATCATCCAACCGCAATGTTAGTATCTCCATCTCCTCATCCTATCCCCAAGACCCCAACCACACGTCTACACCCCCTCTTCAGAACACACGCTTTTTCGTTGGCACGTCCAAACTCCAATAAGCAACATAAATGCTAATAGTACCAATTGCACGATGAACTTCATGATTCTACTTACGGAGTACTACGTGATAACAACAGGAAATTTAGAAATTCATTTTGGAGATGGAAAATCAAAATCTAGTACGATACTACTAGCAATCCATTTTCTATAAAGTAGCAATTGAATTGACCTTATATGGCATTGGTCGAGCCAGAAAATCTTCATCAGATCACACGCGGAGCTGAGGCTGTTGCCCCTCTTTCCGGTAGTAGTACCACTCTAGAACGAAAGTTCATACGTCACCGACAGTGTAATTCCACAGAAATACGTCTAAATCGCTGCGAATTTTCAAAGGAATCTCAAAAGTAATCAATGACTCGCAACTCGCGAAAACCATACCAAGAGCAAGCAACAAGCCAACAACCCACACAGGAACAACCGGGGAGAAGCGTGAAAATTTGGAAACAGGGTTGCACGAGTGGCCGAGCCAATCGGCGATGTCATCACCTGCTCCTCGCTGATGAGCTCGTGGAGCCGCACCTTGAGCTCGGGCCCGTGCCTACCGCCGCTCCGCGAGTTGACGAACACCACCACCGGCGTCACGGCCGCCTCCACCTCCACCTCCACCTCCCCCTCCTCGCCCCTCTCCGCCGCCGCCGCCACGCCGACGGCCTCGTCCTTGGCCTTCACGGCGGCCGCGACCGCACGCCGCGCGTACAGCGGCATGACGACCTGCCTCCGCAGCTCGGCCTTGTCCACCTCCTTCCCCCACACCCCGCACGCGCGCACCGACTCCCAGATCGACACCCTCGCCGACGGCGCCGTCGACGGCGCCCTCGGCGTCTCCTCCGCTCGCTCCATCACCGGAACTACTCCGTATCACTCGCAGCCGCAGCTAAGCAAGAGCAGCTTCGAAATCCCCTCTCCTATGGCGAGCTATGGCGAGCTGGAGTTTTTTTTTTTGGCCCGAGATGAAATTGGGGGAAAAAACGTGCCGACTTTTTTTTTCAGTGGGTTTATATAGAGGAGATGAGTTTTGACTACACCGATTTGCGCGTTGCTTTATTGCTGTGTGTGCTGCTGCTTTGCATCTTCTTGGGGTGCCAATAGCGCGTGACCGTTACGTCTGGCCGGGGATGGATTTCAGGAGAGAATGGAAAGGACACGAATGATGATGGTGTTTTTTTGCTCTGTCACGACTCACGTCCAGGTTTGCTGATTTTGACGCTGTCTCGCCCGTTTTTACAACCTACGGAAAATCTTATATTTGGTCCGGAATACAGTGCTAAGAGTTTACAATATTTACAGAATTTTGTTATACTTTTTTAGAAAAAAAATCCAATATTTCGAAATAGTATGAACTCGAAAGAGCCATCTTCAAAGTATAGTATCTCCTCGATCCTAAAATAAACCAAGTTGTTTTATATATAGATTCATACATACAAAAATTAAAAATTGATTTCTTTTTTTTTAGCCAGCAAATATGACATCTCTGAATGTTGTGAAATCCCCTTTAAAGTGTTGTGGAGCTACCAACCCCCTCTTCATGGTAAGACTCTCTGGGTGAAAACCCGATTCATCTAGACATGCGACAGTGGTGCCATTTGGTGTCATGACCTCCTTGAAGACGTTGCCTATGAAGTATTCATCGCTCATTGCCGCCCTTCCTCCAGCTTGGTCCTTGGCCTTATTTTGGTTGTTGTCGTCAGGTTGGCTCGAGGGACGAGTGGATCTTCTTCTCTCTCGTCCTCTCCCTCTCCCCAATGCTTATACGTGATATGATTGGGAGACCGTCAACGACCTCCTGTGTAGAATTTGCGTTTGGAGAGGTATGTGCGACCCCCTATAGTTCTAGCGGCGATCGGTCATGCTCAATAGCGGTCTCTCTCGTCCTCAACCTCTCCCCAATCCTTATACGTGATGATAATCGGGAGACCGTCAACGACCTCCTATGTGGAATTTGAGTTTGGAAGGGTGTGTGCGACCCCTATAGTTCTAGCGGCGATCGGTCATGCTCAATAGCGGTCGATTTGATACTAGAGCCTTCTCTTGGGTTGTGTGTTTGTTTTGTTCTTTTCTTGTTATAGTTTTTCAGGGTTGCAGTGTTACCTTTTCCCTTTCTGTATTAATATAAAGCTTTGCACAGCAGGTTGTTTCAAAAGTTTGAGTTTTTTACAGTGGAAGTAGAGAGATTTAATTATAGATTAATAGATACATTTTCTATTTGTTTGATAAAATCAATAACTTCTCGAAGAGGTGAAACTTTTTACCGTCATTATCATTGGTATAGAACAAGTTAAAGGAAGGAAAATATGTGGAAGGTGTGGTGCCACAATATTAAAACTATACTTTATACTCTTTTGCGCCCAAAGGTTGATTCCTTATAGCCTTAACTACCAACAACCATACAATAAATGGCTAATTAATCAGGTCATTGGTAAAGAAATGTTATTGTCAAACCATGTCTATCTTGAAAGTTAACAATCACAATCACGCGCGTACTTATTAAGAAAACATCTCATTGTTTGAGCTTGCGATGAGCATGATAGCAATGTCAGTGTCGATTATGGAAATGGGCAATAATTAAAAAGAATAGCACATGAGATCTAAAAGTTGATTGATGGATGCAGAGACAAGAATTAAGACAAATTCAGGGCTCTCTCGATAAGAGGTAATACCTTACTATTATTTCGGAATTGTATCTGTCGGGTGTATATATTGATATGATAATCTAATTGTGACTTATCTTGCTATCTCTGGTTATGTCTTTGGAGAGCTTCCCGCTCACCTTATATAGGTTAGGGGTAGTGTTACAAAGAGTAATACCTAGCCGGACACAGTATCAGTTTCCTAATCAATTACTTAATACCGGTCGGGATTCTAAATTATGTTATAGAACATAAGACAACATTGTGATCAAGTCCTACTCTATTACATAGTACATGGATTTGGCTCACCTCCTATCTCTAGTCAAATATAGAAGTCGTGTGGGTACCCAGTACCCCATATTCTCCATAGTCAGGTTGTATTGGATCACTTGCTCTATCAATACCTACAGTTATACCTACATAGTCAATCCGTTCTATGCAATTATGCATAGAAGTGTTCCGACCGATGTGATTAAGAGTAGTGATCCAGCTATCCTTATTTTATAGATGATGTGGCTCAACGTATATATGTTGAGTAACTGAATTCAAATATATAGGAAGAGTAGATAACTAATTTGACACTGAATTTTAAAGATACTATGGGAGTATTTGGTAGTGATATCAGTGGCAGATCTAACAATTTCTTTGAGCCTGCGCAAACCTAACAACGGATAACACATACACATAAATCTATAAAACTCTATACTTATATTTCATGCACGCAAAGAAATAAGTTGATAGACACAAGTTGTGATTTAGGTTGAGAAAATACGATCTAATAATTTATAATAACGAGAAGAAAAAAAATGCAACTCCCCCTTAAGTTATCAGTTTCACGTCCTGTTATAGTGAGAAAAACTATAACAGTGAAAATTAGTATAAAATCAACAACCATGTTTTTACGCCTTCTTTTCTTTTTCCTATGATCCTACCTATTTGAAAAGTGCAATATGTCGAACTATTTTATTTTGCTTGACTTTGGCTTAACAAGCTCTATTACTCACTAAACAGTAGTCATAAACAGCAAGGTTAGCTTGGAGCAATGTCGGATCTGTTTTGTTTCAGGCAATTGTTTATGTTGCCAGAGTGATTGGTGAAGGACCAAAAGTGCACCTAACGATTCGTCGATTCCTTCCCGTTCCTTTGCAAATTTCCCGGTAGCTCTCGTCATGTGGAAAGGGTGGGATCGGAGAATGTGTGTAGTGGTCTAGTGGGGCATCCAATCCAGCCACCCACGCAAGGCGGAACCCAAACCCACTGGGAGCACTGCCTTTATTCCGGCTTCTGCTCTGCTGCCAGTGGCGTCAAGCACACGGTTGGTAGCACGCCGCCGCGCGCGTACGCAGCAGCAATGACGCCTCTGCCGGCTAACCACCTCCCCCACCACGTTGGTACTCCTACTAATTTCCATGTGAGCCCCCGCCTCCGCCAAGGCCCACCTGCCATGGCACAGCCGGTGCATTGGCTGGCCCGCGAGGCGGCAGATGACGACAGGATGGGGATTGGGGAGACGGCAGCGGCACGTGCGAGCCGCGGTGGCGTGGGGTGGGTGGGGTAGTTGCCGGCTGCAGGCGGCTGACACACAGCGCGACATCATCGGAAGGGGCATTCAAGTTTTTGAATTGATGACGGGATGGGAGGACCGCGCTCCCCGCCCCCCGGTCGGACGTTGGACATGGCGGCGGGCGGAGGAACCCAAGTGTGGGACCCAGCGCTGCGCATCACAGGAGAAGTCAGGTTACCATCGTCTTCTTCTTCTAGAAAGGGTGACTTCTGAAGACCGAAGAGGAGGTCCTCCGTACTATTACTACGCGTACTACTACCTCCGTGAAAATGGTTAGGCGGCTGCGTGGTGCGTGCTAAAATGGTCCGGTGATTTCACTACAATTCAAATGTTCTGGAAATACGAGTACTCGGTAGTAAAATTGTGCTACGACGACTTGCTACAATTCAAAGTTCTGGATTCTCTCTCTAAAAAAAAAATCAAATGTTCTGGAATATTACGTAGCGGTGCTTCTTTATATCTTGGCCGTGAGCCCGTGACTCATCAGCATGCGTTATGTACTCATTTTGGGTGTACTGTATCATATACTTATTTTGGATGTGTTCTTTTCTCTATGTTCTCGACTTCTCCTCACTCGTTTTTTACGTGCATGTTTCTTAAATCACTAAAAAAATATGTATTTTGTAAAATTTTCTAGAAGAAAGTTGTTTTAAATAATCATACTAATATATTTTTTAAAGTTTTTTCAGTTGATTCATAATTAATTAGGCACCACTACATTCCATCATTTTACATGCCTATCTCCGACCATAGCCGGAAGGCTGATCAAACAGCTTACTATAGAAGGCCATGCATCCTGGTGAAGCAACCCAATAACTGGGCTGGAGCAGGGTTAGCCTCTGGAGGTAAAGGTCCACTTTACTTTTTTTTTTAACCGTAAAACCAGATATTGTTCGCGCACCAGCCATCGACCATGCATCTGCGACATTGGCAACACAGTTCATGGTGTTGTCGGTGGGTAGGCATGGTTCTGGTAGGAGTGGGGGTGAGCGCGGTGTGAAAGATGATGGTGCCGCTGAGCTCCCCTCCTTATTCCCGGTGACTTGTTCTGGTTCTTCTCGTAAGTTGATTCGGACAAATAGGCACGTGAAAAGTTTTATTTTTTTTTCTTTAGTATATGTCTAGCAACTTATGGCATGTTCGACAAGCTGGCTGCGGCTGCGTCGTGTGCGTGCGACACTATTGGTGCCGGCTGCGCCGCAGCAGGCCAGCAGCAGAACAATCAGTCGAATAGGCCCTTAAAGCAGACCAGTGCAAGATGAAAGTTTTGTTTTAACACGTTAGCATCACGTGGGTGTCACGTCACATAAAAAACCAAGTCAAAAGTACTAGTGCCGCATAGAACAAAATCACCATTAAAACCACTTAGGGATATAAAATGATTTGGTTTTAGTAGTTAAGGGAATCTCTATACCTGGCTTTACGGTTGAAGGATACAAATAAAATTCAAAGCATATTTGAGGGATGCACATTGAACTTTTTCTGCTAACAAATGGGCATAGGCCTACATAAATCGGTCCGTGTGACCATAGGAAAGAGGAAAAAGTACACCAAAGGTCCCTTAACTTGTCATTGAGTTACAAAATCATCCCTCAACCATAAAACCAGATATATGGCATCCCTCAACTTATAAAACCGTTCACTTTAGATTCTTCGGTGGTTTTGACCCTGGTTTTGTCCAATGTGGCGGTTGAGTCAGCGTGGAACTCACGTGGGCCCCCCATGTCAGACTGTCCACGTCGTCTCTCTCTTTTCCCTCTTCTCTTCCTCCTCTTTATCACTCTTCTCCTCGTCTGGGACTCTAGGCAGGGTGGCCAACGGGTGCAGAGGAGGCCGGCCAGGCAAGGCGGGAAAGGAGGAGGTCCAATAACCAGTGACGGGTGGCACTGTGGCGGCTACTCCGGCCAGGGGCGCAAAGGAGGGAGCACAATGCCTCCCCTCCTCACCGTGAAGGAGCTCAACGTCGCCCAGCTGGGCGCCGGGGTGAGGCAGGCGACATGCGACGTGGCGACATGGGAGAAGGGGCCACACGACGTCGGTGGACTCGGTGGGCGCGGAGGTAGACTCGGCGGGCACGGTGCCCCGGCCTTCTCCCGCGCCGCCTCCTCCCTCTTCTTGTGCACTCGCTACCGGCCTCATCGCCTCCGGCCGGTGGACGCCTACCCGCCTCACCTCCGGCTTCTCCTCCACCGCCGTTTCGAATCACCCATGGGACACTAGAGAGAGGAGCACAAGCCCCGCCGTGGATGGTGCTTGCGGAAGGGAGAGAAGAGGGGGGAGAGAGAGATGACGTGGACAGTCGAACATGTGGGACCCACGTGGGTCCCACGCGCCAGATAAAACCAGGGCCAAAACCACCGAATGATTTAAAGTGAACAGTTTTGTGTGGTTAGGAGACGATTTTGTAACCCGATGACAACTTGAGGGACGTTTGATGTACTTTTTCCTATAAAAGACTAGTACGGCATGCTGGTTTCGGCTGGACCGCGCAGAACGCGAACTCCGCCAACAGGCGTCAGACGGTCAGAGACCAGCCCAGGCACGCCTAGCTGCCCGCGCGGCCCAACAGCCGCACGCGCTTTGACCGTTTTTCCTTCGGAATAAGTTCACTTTAGGTCCTTCAATTTGTCGGTCAGTCCGACTTTCGTCTCTTAACTGCAAAACCGGGTATGACCCGTCCCTCAACTTACGAAAACCGGGCAAACAAGATCCCTCGGTCAGTCCGGTTTTGGCCGACGTGACGCCTACATGGCTTCTTTGACTTGGTCTTCATCTCATGTGACATTGACGTGACGCTTAGGTGGCAATTTTATATCTCAAAAAATAATAAAAATCGTGGGACCCATATGTCAGCTACACACAAAATAAATCCTCTCTCTCTCCCGGCCGGAGCAAGCGACGGGTGGGGCGAGCCGCGGCCGGAGCAGGCCGGCGGAGCGGCGGCGGCCGGATCAGGCGAGGGGCAAGGCGGTGCTCCACGCTCTCCCTCTTCTTCCTCATCGCGCCGTCTTCGGGCGCTTCTCGCGCCACGGCGCTCGCCTCACAGCCGGCGGAGTGGTGGCGGAGCGGAGGGACGGGTGGAGCGGCGGGGCGGCGGCAGACCGCGGGGTGAGCGGAGGGGCAGGCGGAGCGCCGGCGGCAGCAGGCCACGGGCGGCGGAGGTGGCCGGGGGAGGAGGTCGCCGGCGAGCGCGGCAGCTCCACTCCGTCGGCCGCTCCGCCCGCCATGGGTCTGGACATCACCTCGCCGGGGAGGTTGAGGGTGTAGTCGGTGGTGCCGGCGCCGACGAGGAGTTGCGCCACTCGTTGCTGAAGTTCTCACGGAGGAAGTCCTCGAACACCTAACGTGGGATGTGCGTCACGCCCGGCTCCACCACCCGCACCGGCCGCCCGTACGGTGTCCTCCCCACCGGCAGCGACTGGATCCCGCCGCCGTACAAGTACTTGTTCCCGTACACCAGCACGCCCGTATGCCTACACAACAAATCAGATTGAGCCAAACCCAAATCCAAAAATCCAAATCGTTTAGACCAGAATAAACAAACAGATCTGGAACAGGATTTACTCACCAGATGGCCTCGATTGGCTTGCGGAGGAAGGAGGTGGAGAGCTGCCGCGCGAGGCTGTTGCTCAGGTCGTACACGTTCAGAACACCCTTGCCCAGAGGGAGGAGAAAGGGAGGCAGAGGACGAGGTCGCCGGCGAGCGCGGCAGCAACACTCCGTCGGCCGCTCCGCCCGCGATGCGCAGCAGAACGGCGCCGCCCCTCCTCGCCCGGCGTCACCCGGCGGAGAGGACAGAGGAGAGGGGAGAGAGAGTGAATACAGGGAGTTGGGGGAGAGAGGAGGAAGAAGAGGAAGGTGAGAATGACACGTGGGTCCCATCATTTTAAATCTATTTTTTTAACTGACATGTGGGTTCCTAATTTTTAATATTTTCTAAATCAAATTGCCAAGTAAGCGCCACGTTATTACCAAGACTGAGTCTAAATAGTCACGTAGGTGCCACGTCAGCGAAAACCACCATCTAAACCACCGCCATGGACATATATTGCACCGGTTTTGACAGTTGATGGACCTGTTGTATCTGGTTTTTCGGTTGAAGGATGAAAATCGGATTCGGTAAGTTAAGGGACCTCGGATGATCTTATGCCTTTTCCTTCCCTTTTCTCACGCGGTCACGCCTGATTTCTAGCGAAACCGACCAGAATCCCTATTGGGCCGGGCCGCAACACCGTGTCACATCCGATCTCTCCCCTTCCTTTATAAAAGCACCAGAATCCTAGACCACGATTCCTCCTAACAAACCCTACGTGATAACTCCCGGTGCATCGTGTTACGTCGCACAACCATCGCAGAAGAGCTCCCCGGAACGGAATCATGGCGGCGACGACGGCTAAGCACCAGACGATGCGGTGGAGCGACCTCGACGAGGACGACGACTACGGCGGCGGCGGCGGCGGCGGCCTCAGCGCCCTGCAGCTCCCGCCCCGCGTGGTCATCGGGCCGGACGAGAACGGGATCAAGAAAACCGTCGAGTACCGGCTCAACGAGGAGGGGAAAGCGGTGCGGGTGACCACCACCACCCGCGTCCGCGAGGTCGCGCGCACGCGCGTCACCAAGCGCGCCGCCGAGCGCCGCGGCTGGGCCAAGTTCGGCGACGCCGCGCACAACGACGACGCCGGCGCGCGCCTCACCGTGGTCTCCCCCGAGGAGATCGTTCTCGAGCGTCCAAGCGCACCAGGTATAGCAGTAGTCTCTTCTTCACTAGTACTACGTATATACGTTGCTCGTTAATTGCAACTTTGCTAGATCAATCTGCAACAATGGATTGATCGTTTTTTTTTTTGAATTTGTCTTTTTCATGTTAGCCGTGTATAGATACGTGTTACAGATCTATTTAGACTAGGCCATGTAGTATATCTGAGACTGAACAAAGGATATACTAATTCCTTTTCTTTTCGACATAAAAGGGATACTAAGTTTTGTAGCAATTCCGATCCGTTCTAAAAATACAGTGTGATATTTAAACTATTCATGTATAGAATATCTATCCGAGGAATATAAATTCTAAACATACACCCAATTCTGCATGCAAATCTTTATTCGCTAACTGTTCTACACTGCAGGGAGCAAATCGGAAGATCCACTCATCCCCGCACTGGACAAGGGCGCCGCGCTGATGGTTTGCAGGATCTGCAACGCCAAGGGCAAGCACTGGACATCCAAGTGCCCCAACAAGGACTTCGCCCCTCTGCAGCTCGACGCTCTCGTCGACAACAATATTCCTCCCAACTCTGGCGGCGACAATGGCGGCGGATCCCGGCCGGGCAAGTACGTGCCCCCGAAGCCGAGGGAGTCGGAAATGCGGCGGAGGAACGACGAGAACTCGGTCCGCGTCACCAACCTGTCGGAGGACACCCGCGAGGAAGACCTCCGCGAGCTGTTCGGCAGCTTCGGCCCGCTCACCCGCGCGTACGTCGCGTTGGATCACCGGACCGGGGAGAGCAGGGGGTTCGGCTTCCTCAGCTTCGTCTACAGGGAGGACGCCGAGAGGGCCATCGCTAAGCTCAATGGCTATGGCTACGATAGCCTCATCCTTAATGTCGAGTGGGCTGCTCCAAGGCCCAACTAGCCTTTACTAGCACTAAAATTTTCTATTCCATCCGTTTCAATCATATTATAAGTTGCTTTGATTTTTTCTAGATAAAAAATTAAGTTTGATTTAAATTTATAGAAAAAATATAACTTGAGTTGTAAATGCTAAATGTTAGTTTTAGTGAAACTAATTTGGTGTCATAGATGTTGCTAATTTTTTTCTATAAACTGGGTTAAACTTAGGAAGTTTTAACTAGAGAAATGGTCAAAGCGACTTATAATATGAAACGGAGGGATAACATAGTATTATACTTACTACTATCTGCTTTGCATGTTTCATACTATAGTGTTGGATTAGTGTGATATTTTGTTGAATCAATGGTTTCATCAGTTATAATATTTTGAGGAAGTTGCATGGTTGAATGTTGGTGGTTGGTTATGTGTGTACAAATCCAAATTAGTGAGAACACTAATATTACTAGGCCCAATAGAATGTCTCTGAGGCCTAACTTATCCGGCCCGTAGACTAAAAAGCCCATCAACGTGGATACCGCCTTACAGATCGGGGCGCACAAAACGATCCGAGCCGCTCGTTCCATTTCCATTCCTACGCCGAGGTCTTCTTCCCCACTCTCTCCCTCCCACGCCGCCGCCCCCGCAAACCCTAGCGAACGCAGCGGAGAGAGGAGAGAGCGCCATGGCCGTGGAGGTGGCGACGCAGAAGATCAGGTGGGGAGAGCTCGAGGAGGACGACGAGGGGGACCTCGACTTCCTGCTCCCGCCGCGCGTGGTCTCCGGGCCCGACGAGAATGGGTTCAAGAAGGTGGTCGAGTATCGCTTCGACGACAAGGGGAACAAGGTGAAGGTCACCAGGACCTTCCGCGTCCGCAAGATCGCCCGCGCCCGCCTCTCCAAGAGCGCCATCGAGCGCCGCTCGTGGCCCAAGTTCGGCGACGCCGTGCAGGAGGACGTCGGCGCGCGGCTCACCATGGTGTCCACCGAGGAGATCGTCCTTGAGCGCCCACGCGCCCCAGGTTGTCACTGTTCTTGTGCATCCCCCTTCCTGTCCAGATCTGCGTCGATTGACGTGTTCTCGAATCGAATTATTTGTTTATCGTTGTGCGCGATCTTCATCAGAACTAGACACGATGTATTGGAATGTTTCGTGCTGTCTATTCCTCTATGTGAGATAGATTATAGAATCGAGGCTGGTGATCTATTTAGGAAACAGCTGGTGCTGCTTTCCTTGAACACTACATACGTCAGGACTCTGTTATAATTTTTCTTGCTTGCTTGGTTTCAGTTTTATCATTTGCAGGCACACATCTAGGTAGAAAGAAATGTGCAATAATGTTAATCATTGAGCTTTATAGGAGCAGTTAATCTGCATGTATTGAAAGGAGTATTTAAATGGGTAATTATGGTGACACAAGAATGTCATTTGAAGTTTTGTTTAATTTTGAAGCGATTCTGGGGTTGAATATTTTTAACATTGAGTGGAAAATTAATAAGAGTCCAAAGTTAATATTTTTGGACTTGAGTGTAAAGTTTCAGTTAGATCTTTAGAGAAGCTGCGGTTGTTTTTAATCGAATATTGAGACAGGGGACATCGATAATGCAGATTAACACGTCTTTATTCTTCCTAAGAGAAGTGTTGAAAATACTGGATAGTGGTGGATCAGGAAAACAATTCTTTTGTGAATACCTATTATGTGCGTATTGTGTAATTGATTGTGGTTTGGTGTGTTAGTCATGCGTATTGTCTGATGATAGAATTTTCATATTGCAGTGGCATTGTATCTTTAGTTTTGTTGTTCAAGAATTATGCATAGGTAATTCGATATCTATCATGGGTGCATGCCCTCGTCCAGTCGTCCTTATACCAAATTGATCTTCGAAGTACATAGTATCGTCACATTTAGTTATGCTTGTTATAACCAATGCTTTTGGTCTTCTAATGCATCGACACAAATCTTCTTAGTGGAGTGCAGCCTTGTTGAGATCCTTCATTTTTTTTGTTCCAAATGATCTATACTAGCTGACTTTGCTTTAGTCTTGTAAATGTTTATGCCTTTGTCTTCTTGTTTGCTAACTGTCACTTAATTTTATAGAGTAAAGCTGAAGAACCTCTCCCTTTTTTCCCCAAAGGCTCAGCTAACTTTGCTTTAGTCTTGTAAATGTGTATGCCTGTCTTCTTCTTTGCTAACTGTTCATTTAATTTTAGGGAGCAAAGCTGAAGAACCAAGTGCTTCTGGTGATCCACTGGCAAGCAAGAGTGGTGCAGTTCTCATGGTTTGCAGAACCTGTGGGAAGAAGGGTGATCACTGGACCTCAAAGTGCCCCTACAAGGATCTAGCTCCCCAGACAGAAGCTTTTGTGGACAGGCCTCCCACTGCTGATGGCTCTGGACCTCCAGGTGGCGCCGTGAAGGGAGCATATGTTCCTCCAAGCATGAGGTCTGGTGCTGTTGATAGGGTTGGACATGACATGAGGCGTAGGAATGATGAGAACTCTGTCCGTGTGACCAATCTATCAGAGGACACCCGTGAACCCGACCTACTTGAGCTATTCCGCACATTTGGTCCAGTTAGCCGTGTCTACGTTGCGGTGGATCAGAAGACTGGAGCAAGCAGGGGGTTCGGCTTCGTCAACTTTGTTCACAGAGAGGACGCTGAGAAGGCTATCAGCAAGCTCAATGGTTATGGTTATGATAACCTTATCCTTCGTGTTGAGTGGGCAACACCAAGGCCAAATTAATTTTGTTACTCCCTGCAAGCGTTACATACTTTTCATGAATGTTCGATCAGTATGTCTCTTGAAATAGTACTTTTGGTTTGCGCATATCCTGTGTCCTGAACTTAAGCTGTACTATTTTTGCTTGGACGAGAATAACTGAACTCGCAGCTATTTCCTATATCAGCTGATATTTGCAAGTGTGTTTGTATGGATGTGCGAGGGTTCCATATTTCATCTTGTTCATTGGAGTTTTTCTTAAAATCTGTTTGATTGTCGCTCAACCTGTGCAACCCCTACAACTGCAGCTTCCTGCAATGTGCATGATTCTTTTTGATGCCCCTGATCACGAGCCTTGGGGAGTTTCATCATCAAATCGACGTTAGCTAAAGCAATGAACAGGTTGGATGCTGTAACAACCGGCAAAAATCTGTTGGCAAAATACATCTGCACGCGGATAGATTGCAGCGTACAACAGTAGGAAAAGGGACTTAACAGTCTGACGAATATCTCAGCCACGCCGAGTTACAATTCCATCAGGGTTCTGGTTGTCTGTACCTACTACTAATACTCCTCAAAATAGCAGCATCATTCGATGATAGTATTGGTACAAAAAGGGTTCTACAAAAAGGTCATATCAAGGACCTTAAGAAAACAGCGAAGTATATGTCTCACGCCTGTACTGCAAAACCTCACGCCATATCTGCACTTGCAGCTCTTCCTCTCTCCAAGAAATTCAGCCTCACTCATCGAAGTGAGAGGCATGGTGGATACAAATGAACCATTTGCCATCAACCTTCTCAAACACATTGGTCGCAACCTGCCTTCCCCAGCTGCTGCTCCCTTTGGTCTTAACCAGCTCCAGGCAGGTCACATACCCAAGATCACCTCTCACATGGACCTCAACATCCTGCAGATCAATCTGGAGAGGGAACTCGTAGTCCGCGTCGCACACCATCTCCCAGCTCTGCATCACCATGTCGTAGCCCGATATCCGGCCTGCCGAAGGATGAACAACGTACACATGGTCGCCCTTCGCCCATGCCGAGTGCATTGCGACAAGATCCCCGTTCTTGAAGGCATTGTAGAACCGCGCATTCGCTGCCAGCACTGCTGACCTGCTGTCCTCCTGGAGGACTCGGAGCTCGTCCCTGAGCTTCGCGGCCTGGGCATAGTTTTCTTCCTGAATCGCTGTTTGCAAGTCACGCTGCAGAGTTTCCTCGTCGCGGGTGATGCTCTCTGTGCTTGGACTTCCTTCTGCCTCCCCGCTTTTGACATGAACTGTCCGAACTTTGTTCGCGCGGGTGCTTGTCATCTGAAGCCCTGTGCTGTTGAAATGAGAATATAAATTATTACAACATACTAAAGCACACTGACCAAGGCAATTTGTTGAAAGTACATAAGCATTTTGGTAAGACCAGGCAAAACATTGAAAGTAAACATTTTGTTAAGTTGATGTCACTGTCTAGCTACTAGAATAAGGTACACTAGTACTGACTACTCACTACTAGAGTGAGGACTAACTGAACAAGCGTAGAGAAGAATGATATCTAACAGCTGATCAACTGCATAATGGATGAGCTACGAAGTTGGTCAATGGGTGGCGCTAAACACGTAGCGAGAATATTGCCCTAATTGTTTTGTTTTTGGTGTTCACATGTGCTTCGGCAACCTGGCATGTACAGTCAACTCTGTTGCTGATTTTCGGTTTTTTCTCCTGCTTATAATATAGCGTCAACCTCCTTCGTTAGCCTTTTCGAAAAAAAGAAGAAAAGACTGATATATAGTACTTGAACCTAATGAAAGTAACTTGACTAGTTGAGCAATCTAGTTGTAAATCACATGAAAAGTAAAACGTTATTGAAACATTTTTGTTTAAGCATGAGTATAGAGTAAATACTAGATTCAACCAGTGCATTGAGAACTTAGCAAAACTGGACCTAGCTGGCTAGCTATAGTAAGTTGAAACGATTTAGTGTCACATGATACGAAATATAGCATCTTGGAATCAGCATTTTCACTTCAGTTCGGACTCGAATTCAGCCTCTTCCTAAGTGTGACACCCGTGCCACCAAATTCACTTCAGAACACCAAAACAGCATAGAATTTTCATAATTCAGTGCAAAAATGCTAGCAATTTATACACTGAACTTTGAATTTTACTTGAACTGTTCTTGTCTAGTACAGTTCAGTTCCACGAGATGATGAACTGAGCGGATGGGGAACCTGCTTCCTTAGCGTCAATCAAAGCACTTCACCCCCAAAGCATGCAATTTCCGAGCCGATAGCAAGATTCATGAACACAAGATACCTCCTTTGCCCTAAAGTGGCGTGTATCCCGACGCTAAAAAACTACCAGAACCCAATGTTTCGACAAGAAACCCCAGTACCCCACTAATTAAGCTTGAAAGCTAAGAAGCTTAGAGAGAGGAGGTCTTACAGGCTCTTGGCCCCAACTCGGAAGCAGCTTACAGCTGCAGTTGAGGCACTCGCCGGAGCAGCCGCCCGCCACCAAGCCCTCGCCGGCGTGGACGCCGCCGCCGCCGCCATAGTAGCAGAAGGATTTGGAGCTGCCATGACGAGATCAGTGTGGATTTGGGTAAGGTTTTACCCTGGACCTATGATTTCATCCTCCTCTTCGTTTCTTGGGCCGTTTTGCTCGGCCCATCTATTTAGCCCACTTATCGGCCCCAAAGCCACAGTATGCCAGGAGTGAAAAAAACCATCAGCTTTTTTTCTTTTTCATTTTTACGATTACACAGAAGAAACACACGCATAAACACCTCTATACACTCACACCTTACTTACATATCCGCTAATGTATCACTAACACACACTCAAAGAGACCATCTGTAAATCCTTAGACTCACTAAAATCCTATTGAACGCACATCTATGTGTTCGTAATATTCGTGACCACTATAGTTTGAATTTGATGGATCGACTCATGACTTAACCACCACACTTATAGTGATTCCCCTTTATCTGTTCGATTTGCTTCTAAATGACTGGACGCAAGTTGTAATACATCTATCATCATCCAATTAAGTTTCTATACAAAATACAACTTATGCAGGGAAAAGAAACAAATACCGTTAAGGAGTAAAGTGAATCGATTTCAATAGTTTAGGAGTGTAAAAAAAAGTCGAAAAGTAGTTTAATGGGTTAAATGCTTTGATAAAATAGTTTGAGGGAGTAAAATGGATATTTTCATAAATTTATTATCATGGTAGAAGTTAATTTTGACCAGTATTTTTGCTAGTAAAATTTGAAATACTATCTAGAACGTCGCATTGCATATGTAACCATCATCCACTGACCACAACCAGATAATTTTGAAAACAATATTAGCCGACATAAATAGTAACAATCATACACTGTCACCAACTTTAAAGAAAAAAAGAGAGTAGAAGGGCCTCAATCAATTTCACATTACTATTCCTCGACATCCAATCTGACCCACGCAGCGTTAATTCTCGCACTGCCTGTTTGCATCTATCTGTGTGAGAGCGACTCCTGAAGAAGCCGCTGGCCCCAGCTCACTGAACACCAAACAGTAAGCACTGGGCACTACGTATTCTGGAGTTGTAGCTGTACAATACATGTTGCATCTGCTGCTGCTTTTGCCACTGTCGTCGCTGTAGGCATGCAGTACTCCCTCTATCACAAAAAAATGTTAATTTCACTAGATAAAATGATTTTACAGTTCTTAAAAACATATCGGGAGGTATCACATCTTTTATTGGGAATTTTGATATCTCTACGTAGGTATGAATATACACACTAAAAATTTTGATAAGTACCTGTCAAAAACCTTAACTTTGTCTTTGAGAGATGGGACATATATAAGTAATGCGTATGTCTTATTCGTTCAAAAGTTTATATTTTGAAATAGAGATAGTACATCAAGATTTACAGAGAGAAGTTGTTTTATTCATTTTTAGAAGGAAGTAAGTCTGCTGCTAATCGTTGCGACTCGATCCTACCAACCACAACATTTTGGGGCCAGGCAATGCATGGTAAATTGGCAATGGCATGGCACTGAATCCTGTGGGGGCAAGCAGTGGAAAATTAAGAAGCAAAGCTGCCGTTGCCCATGCCAGTGCAGCAGCACCGGCTCGGACTTTGATGGCGCAGAAATTGAAACGGAGTGCGTGGAGGATGGCTGCAGTAGTGCAGTGCAGTGCAATGCAGTGTTGCAGCTTCGTCTTTGATTCTTTCTCCTCTATCTGTTCTGCTAACTCAGCTGCTATAGTTCATAAGCTGTGGCCAAACCACCAAAGCAGGGAGGGGTATAATTTACCACTTTATCTCCCACTCCCAGTGAGCCCCCCCACACTGCTGCAGTGAGATGCTGGGTTGCATTGGCAATGGCAAAGGCAAAGAAAAGCTAAGCTCTAGCTAAGGTAGTTACCTGCTTAACGTGCCGCTATTTTGTCCTCTGGCCCTTATCCCTAAACATGCAGCAATTTTGTCCCTGGCATCTAGCTATCGATCCACTTTGCTGCTGCTCCTGCTGCAATGCTTGTCTGTCCATCTATTCTCCTCCCACTCAGAGCTCATTGCACCTACTACCAAGGGATAAGCTTATGGTGACTGATTCTTTGAGACTTTCAGAAAGATACAAGTTTACCAGCACGTCACTATCTTGATTCAGAGATTTGTTGGCAATAACTTTGCATTGCTTCACAATAACTTTTCGTCCTAAAAGACCATATTTGTTGTAGTGATATGTCCTAACAAATGATCACAATTTACCATTTGTGTCTTAGTTTATTGGGAATTATGCTCTGAAACTGGTTACCACAACACCCTCCAGCTTAATTATACTAGTACTTTATCAGCATTCAGTAGACACTTTATAGAGTTGGTTTTTGATTATGCGAGCATGATTTCACATATTATTTACTGGTTAATAGATGTACAGTAGACGATACGCAGAAGATGGCAAATGGGCCAGCTGAGCTGAGAGCTTTTCTTAATTAATACATGCACTTTCAGACTTCAGAGGCCGTAGCAGAGAGTAGTTATAACGAAACTTTAGCTTTCAGTGCATTTGTCCTCTGGCCCTTATCCCTAAACATGCAACCATTTTGTCTCAGGCGTCTACTAGTGATCACTAACTACTGTTAGCTAATTAATTACCAACTGCTCTCTTTACCAGAGGGGAATTTTGGCACGGCGACAAATCATCATTCCATCTATTCCCTTCCATTTCACCTCACGAGAACGAAATGTACTGCAAGATATCATATTGTAACGACATACTTATTCTTGTGTGTGCATGCATTCCTAGAGGATAACATTGGTCAGTGGGTACATGATTAAATTAATTAACTAAACAGGAGTTTTAATTACCCTGAAGCACTTAACCAAATACAACTCCCCAGCAATAATATGATTATCGCTGCATTCTCTTTCCTAATTAAGATAGAAATGCCCTTATGAAGATTAGTCAATCATGGAGGTATGTACTAATCATCATGAAAATTAAATCTGGGGTAGAATTTCTGCTGGGTTGCTCTGATCAATCAAGAAACTGAAGAATCGAGCGTGATACAGCAGTATCTTCCATGAAAAGACGTACTCCTATATACGCACAAAGCCAAATATTCCAGCCGTACGACCGGGTTCACTGACGACAAGAGAGGAAGATGGGTGTGAAACTGTAAAAATCCTAGTAGTCCTCTCCAAGCTGATTATGGCAGATGTACTACCGAACAATAGATTAACCCGGGCGGGGTTAAAAGGTGATTAGTTACGGCATGGTCTCGCCGCAGTAACTTTTCCTCATTTTTTTGGATCAACTCGCGTCTTTTTGGCTAAAGCGGCGGCAGCTACCGGCCGGCGTGCGCTAGCTCTGCTTGCTGCTGCTGCATACGTACAACATAGCATACACTGCCTAGCTTAGCTTCTTTTCGGACGACGTCTTCGTCGTCGTCGTCGCTTGCCGGCATCCGAGACGGCATCGCATACGCGGGACATGCCCTTTTTTGACCACCTTTGATGATCTACCTAGCTCCTCTCTCTTTCTACCTCGGGCGGCTACTGAATTTTTTTTTTTACCAGCTGCTGATAGGTTGTATGTAATGTACTACTGGCATGCATGGCATACAGTTGCTTCTTGCTTGCACTCGTTTTAGCTAGGATTCAGGAATGTCCTGCAGAAAGCATTGGGCTCGATCGATCTGTGTGTGTGTGTCTGTGTCACTGTGTATGTGTGCAGAGGTGTACAGGACTTGCATTTGGCATGTATTCAGTGAGTCCATGGCAGGTAGTAGGAGTGTGTATAAACAGGCTAGTTCGTACATGGGACTGTATGGGTTGTGAACCTTATGTGTAAGAGCTCTGTTAGCATTGCCTGCATTCGTACAGGCAATCATCAAATACTAGCCAGTATATGACTGTACATTGCATGCATGGGACTTGGGCTCTACTGATATGCAGTATCTGGATAGGTTTTTAACATGAAATGTCGTGTCAGTTTGCAGGTGGTTAAGGTGGTTTGTGCAAGAAAAAATTGCAAAAGATGGCAAAACGCTGTGAATAACCAAACCTAGAGTGACGTGTAATACGTTAGGGTCGTTACTACATGCCCCCTACATATACATGCCATTACCCCAATATAACAGTACTTATCAAATCCTTAACCTTGAAATATTGCATATATATATATATATATATATTGATGTATCCTCCATCATTTAACTAGTTAAGAAATCACCAAAAATGCACGCCGAAACGTCTTTGTTCCAATTCATTAGGTTGCTGACTAAACGTCACGAACGACTGCTAGCTACAAGATGACACTCTTTGGTCCATGCATGCATAGTTGGTAGGTCAATGATAATAAGGACCGGCAAATATTAAGGGACCCATGCATGCTTGTCTTGTTGAAATGAATCCAAAATGTGATTATCAAAACAACTACTCCTTCCTAGCCCCGTACATCTCTAACTTCTGACAGCTGAACATTTACATGTACTAATGTACAAAATGATGATGATCATATTGATGACCAATTTAACCCAAAAAAAAAGAGTAAACACGTGCATGCATGCCAGGTGGACTGCGTCATCAGTTTCCGTCGACGGCGACGGTCACCGACGTCGGGAACACCTCGCCGTCCTTCCTCCGGCGGCCGCCGCTGCCTTCCACCGCCGACAAGCTCACCGTCGTCGCGCCGTCGACATCGTTGGCGCTCAAGCTACGTTTCAGCTGCCGTATGGTAGGGCACAGCACCTCGTCGGCCCACGCCTCCAACGACGTGGCTGACTCTCCCGCCGTCCACGCCGCGCCGGCCAGCCTGTCCAGCACGCCGTCGTCGACGTGTACGGACAAACCGGCGCCGGCGCCGGCGGCGTCCCCGAGCTTCGCCGAGACCACGTCGGAGACGCTCCGTTTGAGCGGCCCGAAGTCGACGGGCTTGAACACCACCGTTGCATCCACGGCTTTGGTGAGCTCGGAGAAGCTCGACGGAGCCGAGAACTTGGCGGCGGCAGCGGCGGGTTGGCCGTACTCCTGCTCGTGCTCCACCGTTAGGTCACTGGACGAGTTCCGGGATTCCTCGCCGCCGCTGTCGTCGTCGTCGGTGTGATCCTCGCACATGGACAGGTTCAGGTCAAGGTGAAGCGGAGGCGAGTCTTTGCGCGGTTTCAACCGCCGGTCGCCGGCGCCGTCGAGCGGCTGCGGCTCCGGCCTCCGCTTCCGTGCGTTGTTCCGGACTCGGAGCTCAAGGTTCCATGGCGAGTCGGTGAACTGATGATCCTCTTGGCACCGCCTCGTGTCGTCCAGCGACATGACGACGAAGATGGCTTCGCCGAGGGCGACGTCCCGGCCGCGCGAGTCCACGAGGCGGCCGGACTCGACGGCGCGTAGTATGGACGCCTGCACGACTCTGTCGTCGTCGTGGTGGTCGAATCCGTCGAGCACGATGACACGCAGCGGGTTGGCACGTATGGCGTCGGCCACACAGTCCAGCGCCGTCCGGCCGCGGCACGACGCGATGGGCTCGCCGCCGTTGCCGGCGAGGCGCAGCGCGACGGCGTTCGTGCCAAAGACCGACATGGACAGCGCCTCCGCCATCTTCGTCTTCCCGGCCACGTCATGGCCGGAGAAGAGGACCCACGTGTCGGCCCTGGTGGGCCCCATGCCACGCCGCTTCCGCTCGCCGGACCTGGCCTTCGTGATCGCAGCGGCAACAGCGGCAGCAGCCTCGGGTTGCCATCGCACCGCCTCCGTGAGCCGTTTCACGAGCAGCTTCTCGTCGGTGTCACAGTACGCCGGTGGCCTCGACGCCGTTGATGCCGCCGGCCCAAGCGCGAGGTCGGTGTCCACCGCGGCGGCAGGCGCCGCCGCGGCCGCCGGTGGCGGCGGCCTTACTGGTATAGCCTGCATGTTGGCGAGGACGCTTGCGCCGTTCCATTCCGAGCAAGTGACCATCGACGACGGCCGGCCACCGCCGCAGCCGCCGCCGCCGTGGGAGTGCAGCTGCGCGCACCGGTCGAGCCACCGACGTCGCAGCTCGTCAGCCTCCCGCGCCTTGTCCTGCAAAGCGACAGACACAGAGAGAGAGATTCCGCACGTCAATGCGCTGCTCACGGCGACGGAACACGACGCGGCTTAGTTTGTCGTTGTCGTGCGCGGCAAAAAAACCAAACCGAACCAACCTGCGCGCGGTCGAACGGTGGCCGTGCGCTGCTCGGCGTCCCGATCTGCAGCCACTGCGACATGGGCTGCTCCGTGGCATGGAGCGCGCCGCAGCCCGGCGACGACGCCATGTCGGCGCGCTCGCGCTCGTAGCCGTCGAGGCAGGCGCTGCACAGGCTCGGCGACCTGCTTTGCATTGCACTGGTGGTCATCGCCGATGACAACACCTCCACCGAGCTGCTCAGGATGCCTCTGTTAACTCCATTAACACTGTAAAACACAAAGAGAACACAAACACATCGTTATCGTCGTGGAAAAAAAGGCGAGGTTGATGATGGAGGCAGTATGCTGTGTTTGTCACGGATGCAAACCTCGGCGAGAGGCCGAGCGATGACGGCGGCGGCGGCGGCGGTCGCGGCGTGATGGGCACGGCCTGGAGGTCCCACTCGCTCTCCAGCGACGGGTGGTACACCTGGCACTTGAGATACGTGGCGCACGTCGCCGTGCCGATCACCCAGACGCGGTGCTCGCGCTCGCCGGACTGCCTCAGGATGCGCGCCATCTCGGCCACGGCGGCGCGCGCCGTGTCGAGCACCACGTCCCTCCGCTTCTCTTGCTCGCCGGGGGCCACGCATCTCTCCTCGACGAGCCACTGCAGGTTGCCGAGGTTGACGACGACGCCGGCGCTCCTGGACGCCGGCGAGAGTAGCTCCGATCTTATCGCCTCGCCGAGCTCCTTGATCTTGGCGGCGAGCTCCGCCCTGTCGAGATCGACCAGGTCGCCGAATTCTCTCTGGAAGGAGATGACTCGCGCATTGCCGAGCCGTTGCCTCTGTATCATGGTGACAACCTCTTGTACCACGGCGTCCACGTCCACCGTGTCGCCGACGAGCACCGGGTTGCGCTTCTTGCCCCGCTTGAGAACTTCCACCACCTTGTTCACCTCCTCCTCCCGGTGGGACACCTGCCGGTGCAGCACTCTGGCGTTGACGTAGACGCCGGAGTCGGGGGCGGCGGGGTCGGAGAGGGAGCGCAGCATGGCGGCCTTGACGGCGGTGCTGGAGAAGGATGCCTCGCGCATGACGCGGGCGACGGAGGGGTCGTCGAGGATGGCGAGCACGAGGTGCGGCACGCCGACGCGGTGGTCGTCCGCCTCGACCACGCCGCTGCCGATGCGGCGGTGGTGCGCGTACGCCCGCTTGAGCGCGGCGGCGAGCGCGTTGGAGAGCGGCGGCGCCGCGTGGTGGTGCTGGTGCTCCGTGGACGTCGGGAGGCGGTCGAGCGCGACGGCGAAGCAGAGGTCGAGCGCGCGGCACCGGAGCGGGTGCGGCGACGCGAGGCCCGCCACGCAGGCGTCGCGGAGCAGCGGCGCCGGGCCGGACAGCAGCGCGGCCGCCGCGTGCAGCGGCGTGGTGTGCGCGTGCCGCCGCCTCGACGCGTCCGCCGCGGCGCGTGACAGCACCGCCGCCGCGTCGGGAGTCAGCGGCGGCGCGGCCGACGGCAGCGACGCCACCGCCGCCGCGGCCGCCGTCGCCGAGTAGGCTCTCATGTCTGCAACTCCGCGCGCGTGGTGTACGCCGTATAGCTACGCTACGGGGGCGCCGGTTTGTTATAGGTTTAGCCGCGAGTGCTCGAGTGGTTGCTGGCTTGGTGCGGTTAGTTTGGCTGATCGATCAGGTGAGGTGAGGTGAGGCGATTCACTCAAGTCGTCATGTAAAAAAAGGCAGGGGTGGCGAGGCGTGCGTGCGTGTGCAACTCAACTGGGAAAAGGGGAGGAGGGGGGGGGGGGGGGGGGGGGGGGAGACGGAGAGAGATTATTTGACGTTGAAGCATGTGTGTGGGTATGTGCTACTGGCAGGGTGGGACCGGACGGGCCAGGCAAAGGGCACTATTTGGATTTGACCCTTCCGAAATCTCATATTTGGCATCTGTACTATTATCGTACTATGAACATTGTTCTTGCGAGTCGTTTGAATTCCTATGTTGGGTGTGTTTTCTCGATCGTGCGTGTAGTACCTCCCCACTTGTTGGTCAAATGATTACGAAAAGTTTAGAAAAAAAATGGTCCGCAGACGGTTAAACCTGAAACCAGATCTGTCAATTGTTATGGAAACTTGGTGATACTCTTCTTGGGTTTCCATGCAAAAGTTTCAACGGAAATTTTTGACGCACGAGTCCGTAATCTTAATTACTAGAAAGGCTTGGAAAGAGAGAAATGCCAGGATTTTGGAGGGAATCGGTAGAAGAACTGCATGCTATTGAGGTCTCATGGGGTATAGCAGAAGAATGGTGGGCATGGTGCAACTTCATTTTTTTTTTCTAAATTCTCATCGCTGGAATTTCAACTTCAAATTTTGTGAATGGTGGGGGTGCATATTCATTGAAAAAGTCTTTCATTTTGGGAGAAATAAACCCGTGAGTGCACATTGTGAATTTGTGATAACTGATAAGGTTTTTGAAATCAGCCTACCCATAAGGCAATGACTTTTTACCATTGCATTTGCCTAGATGTTACTTCCCAACATATATCACCAGAGACGGATCTAGAAATTTGATAGATCAATATATAATGTATATATCGGTGTTATAACATGCCGGTCATGGTTAAACTATGATATTATATTCATTTATAAACAAGACTAGCTATAGGTTTTAAAAAAAGTCGTCAGCATCGTCTGTCCCAATTTTCTATGTTAGATCCGTCCTTATACATCACTACCCTGTATGCCTAATAAACATATAGCTAGAATAAATAAAAATATTTTTGAACTAATATTCATATAATCATATTTATATCCTTGATGGTTTGATATAACCAGAATAAATAGAAATATTTTTGAACTAAGATTCATATTTATATCCTTGATGCTGTCCAAAAATATTTTTATTTATTCTAGTTATATGTTTATTCGGAGTAGTGATGTACAAGGACGAGAACTATATCATTAACGATAGAAATAGAAAGCGATAAGAGGAACATCTAAATTAATTCAAATGAAATTCAAAATTGGCTACAGCTTCGCAGACATGCATGCAGGTAAGAACAACCGCTTGCAACCAGCTCGCCCAAAAGTTTAAACTGTTAATCAAGACATACCTACATACATACATACTGTTGACCAATCTCACATTTCAAAATTGACGACTCACCATAAGCTCGATCAACTACCAGACCAGGCCCCTACCACATCCTGGTCCACTACACAAAAAGGCATGCACTACAATAGTATAGTTACGTATAGTACGTACGTGCCCCCCCAACGGTGGCGATCGCGATTCATATGTATTCACTCATTCACCGAACAGTGATGCATGGGCACATGCCGCAGTAGGTGGTTTGGCTGGCCATGCATGCGTGCGTGCGTCACACCAGGTAGACGCCGCGCACAAGCCACCACGGCCACGGCCCCGGTTTTGTTCGCGAGGCACGGGGAGAACAGCATGCGGGCACCCGCTACCCGCACAAGCCGCAACCCAACAAAATCCCCGCAAAAGCCCCCTCCATTTTAACCAAACCCACCACACCGTCCACACCACAACATCACGGAAAAAAATTCAGTGGAGACCGGATGTAACCGGCCTCTTATACAGCCCCGCTTCGGATGGATGCCACGTGGATGACATAGGGATCGAACGGTTAGCTCGGTCCGGCTCCCGGCGTTGCGTGATGAGGACACACGCGGCTTGGCTCCACGAGCAGCCGTGTCTTTCAAGCTCTCCGTCGGCTCAATTCGACGAACATCATATCGCATCTCCTTTTGCCTGGTGAGCAGCGACCCGCGTCTTCCTCCGGCACTGCAGGGGTCGTCCTTTTCCTCCTCCGGCGCCGCAGACGTCCCTGAGACTGACATATATGGGACTATGGGAGCACCATGGCCGATGTGCCGAGCTCCACCACCGACATCGCTTCTGATGTGCTCTTCGTGCTTGTGTTTTTTGGAGATCGGCTTCTAAAGGCTAGAGCTTGAACCGTTTAGAGTCGAGGGTCAGGTGCTGTCGCCGGCCGCTTCTCCATGGCATGAGAAGAAAATTAACATGCAAAATTGAAGTGCCGTAGGATTAGGAACCAGAAAACAATATACAATATTCATATCAGGGAGAAGAACTGGAGGTAGGGTCATCGTCGATCGAAGCCGTAATCGATGAAGTATTGCGTTTCGTCCGTGGCGGCCGCCAGAAATTGGAAGACGGGTACAGTCGCAGCCAGCATCCAAACGCGCCGCGGGATCAATTGCCTGGCGCTGCGGCTCGCCGGCGGCGGCCGCCTGGAACGGGAACAGAAAGACGGTCGTCGATGCAGCCGATATCCAGGCGAGGAGACGCGATCTGCGTTGAATCGAGCCGTCGGCGAGGCTGAAAGCCGCGTCTGCGCCTGGAGCCAAGCCATTTGCATCCTCGTCACGCAGCGCCGGGAGCCGGGCCGAGCTAACCGTTCGATCCCTAGGTCATCCATGTGGCATCCATCCGGAGCGGGGCTGCAGGTGAGACCGATTACACCCGGTCTCCACCAAATTTTTTGCGTACGCACGTTGCGCACATCGGCCCCCGCACCGATCACGTTACGTACGCCTCATCGCGACGCGACGCGACGCACGTCGATCGCGCGCCCGCGCCCCACACGCTGGTCCGGGCGTACGCTGCGATCGATCAGCGGGAGCGCATCTGCTTGTCCATCTGCGGCGAATGATATGCACGCAACGGCATCATGTTAGTATGATGACACGTCTTTTTCCCCACAAATACTAGCTGGGTGAGAAAAGAGGGGGGTTGCGCTATGGCAGCTGATCGATCGATGGGGGTACGCGTCCACGCACATAAGCTCATCGATTGCGTTGGCTTTTTTCTTCTCGATCTCTACCTTAGCTTTAGTTCTTGGAAGAAGATGCATGCATGCATGCATGCATGATATGCATGGAGGACTCATCCTTAGCTTGAATAGTTGCATATCTGGTGGATGTGCATGTATATGTGGCTGATTTTTCTTTTTGGGGACTGCATATGCTATATTATTGTACAGTTTTGAGGGAAAATCCAAGGAAGTTGCCATGCCATGCATGCATTCAGCTTTATGCATTGGGACCCATACTCAATAGCAAGCTGGATGGGCAGGCATGTCCGTGGGCTTCAAGTTGGGTTGAAGGCTACAACAGTATTCTACGTCGTCTTGCATTGTAGAAATTTTGTACGGAACTAGGTAAATACGAAACTACCGTGTAGTACTATACCTCTAGTTTAGTAGTAGTATATGATTAGCACTAAACCATGCATGAATGATTAAGGAATCTACTAAAGCATGAAGCATGCACACAGATCAATTCTTAAAAACAAAGTATCGTGGAGATTCCGCGTGAGGTTAATTTCAGAGAGCATGCATTGCAGACCCTAGATCTGGTCTATATCTTTACCATATATACCGTAAGGTAAACTTAGGAATGGCATCGATTTTTAAGAGCAGGTATAATAGCAGCTGGTATGCCAGCGACATACTGGCCACGTAGACTGGAGCGATGATTTGGCAGAAAAAAGGCAGGAGAGAGAGGGCGAGTCGGCGACTAAACTGTCGCCCGGCTGCATGCGTTTTTCGAGAAAAGTGGGCCCCGTCGGTGCCATAGATCAGCAGCGGTGAAATAATCTCCAGAGAGAGAATAAGATGAATAAAGAATAAAATACTATTGTCATGAAAGGATGGACAAACAGGTTAGAGACTGTTTATTGTGCTGGTAAGCTACTAAACCAACTTTTGATGATATGGTGAAAATTGCAGCCAACTGTGGGCGTTACTATTAATCTTGCTTTAAAAGGTACTGATCATGGAGCTCAGGAGCTGAGTGTTCTTGTCATGTAATGCCAGTAATCCTTTTTTTTTTTGCCTTTATCTTTTCTTTTAGACGAACTAGAGGGCGTGCGTAATTATTGGAGAAAGGTGAAAAGTGAATCGAACCAAGCAAGCATGATTTCTTCCTTGTAAGCATCAATAATTCAAAGGAGGCTAGTAGCGTGGTTTATACACGCATAATTCACTAGGCTTTTCATGTCTTTTTAAGGGGCGTAGTAAGCTTTTTTTTGCTCTTCTTTTCTTCCCCTCTTCTTCACTCCTCGGTGGATGGCACTTTGGTGGTGAGAAATCATCATACCGATTCAATTCATTCATGTCATGAGATGCAAGCAAAGTTTGGTGCTATAGCTTTCCCCTTAGCTTCTCCCCATCCCTCCTCTTTAGCCCATAGGGAGAAAGGAAGAGGGAAAGCGGCTAGCATGTCACTTTTCGCTTGCTTAAGTTACCATGCATCTCCCACAACTCAAAGTAGACCATCATGAGGAATGATTTGTGTGCCTGCCTCCCCTGCTCGTGTATGTATCAATCCTTAGCTTGAAGAAACAAAGTTGGTGCAAAGTAAAAGCGTAAATCGCATCATAGTCCACCCACCCACCTAAAGTTGCACCTTTTAACCAGCATGATTAGCTCTATCAAGCCTTTAATCAGGCAGTACTTTTTTTATATATTTTAGTGAAGCAGTGTTTAACCATGGGTGGCATGAGTGAAACAGTCCAGCTCAGGAATAAATACACACACACACAAAACCAATTGAAAATGGTTAGCAACAACAAAGTTGGCAAGCTTTATAATTGTGCTTTGAGAGCCTCATCTCATCCCCTTTATAATCTCTCTCTCCATGGGAAGCAAAGTAAGGTGTGAAGGCACCTGAGAGGAGAGAGCTTGACAAAGAGCATCATGCATGATGCCCAACTAGGCCCACAGTATGGATGGTGAGGGCGTGTAGCAAAAAAGAAGGCATAACCTTTTTGGGTGAAAAAGAAGAAAAGGTCAGGGAGTTTGAGACACCAATGAAAGGAAGAGAAAGGATTAGTCACTTTTGAAGGCAGAAAGATTGCACTACTAAAAGTCATGGGGAGAAGGAGAAAAGAGCTCCTGTCTTTTAAGATGGGCTAATTGCGAAGTGGGATGCACTCTGCAGCAAAGATGCCCCTCTTTGCATAAAGGGAGCACCCCTTCTTTCTGTTTGCTAGGGAGGGGTTTTTTGGCCACTTAGGATTCCTTAAAAACAAATGTGAGGTGCCAAGGGAAAGTTGGAGCCCCATAAAAGGGGCAAACTCCGGCTTTGTATGAAAAGTTCCTCAAAGCATTTTTCGCAGTGGCTTCCCCCTTTTTCTTTTTATTAGTCAAGCATAACAATCCCTTGCTTTCTACTGCCAACACATTTGCTCATTCTTTGTACTAGTACCAAAAGAATTTTATGACTGTACTGCCTCTCTACTGTTCCATGTGTTCATAAGCATTAGGTGCCTTTTTTTCCACTCAAGGACTTGCATGCATTGCATGATAACGAAAAGATTCTCCAATTACAAAAGAAGGGGCTCTGAACTGAAGTGACATGTGCAAAAGCTTCTTTCAGCAACGATTTGTGTCCCATTTCTGATAAACGAAAAACAATACGGTCCATCATAAGTTAATGACTTTGTAGATAACCCCTTGCTATTGGATTGTGTTTGCTACTACTAATGAACAGCCCAACATAAGAGGCAGAAACAAGATAAAGGCCCAGACCATTTAGGCCTCATTTGGAAGGGCCTTAATCCAGGCCCATCCACATGTGATGGGCTGGGATTTTGTGCCTTAATCCAGGCCCATTCACATGTGATGGGCTGGGATTTCGTCCTATCCAAACAAGGCATTAATTTCGTACTGTGCAACAGAGGGATCAGAAAACACACAGAAGGTGCCTTGGAAACAAGGGTTGCAAGTTGCAACACTCAATATCCAGCAATCTCGATCTATAATTAATTGAGTACATATAATTGCTAAAGGCGGTTTAAGTAACATGCTGGATAGACCTAACAACAGTGATTGACAGAAACACGGTATAAGCAAGTGATGAAGATATTCCACTTCAAGGAACTGAGAAGCAAGCAGCTATGCAGGTACATGCATTACATGGTTGGGTCGAATAATTACAGTGAACTCGGTAATTCTAGCAAAATTCTGATAAACACACGATATTTGACCATTTTTGAGCGCCGTAACCGTAAGCGGGGTGAGTAATAGATATGACATGCCTGTGGCCTCACCTGCTGGGAACTGCACTGCACGCGAGCTAGGTTTCGTAATTAGTAGTTCTCCACAATTCTGAGTACCGACGAATATGTTCCAAGAGCAGCGCTTATGGTGCCCAATATTATTATACCAATACTTGCAACGACCTGAGATTGAAACAAAAATGTCAACCACGGATGTAGTTGACAAACAAAAGAAACAAAAAAGAAAGAGAGCGATTTTTGGTGTTGGTCTACCACGCGATGTGCATTTTACCTGGGCAGTCGTTGCTTTATTTTGCCTAATCTTCAAGAAGCACAGTGCAGGCATTATGACGGCCTGTAATCATAAAAAAAAATGTTGAAATGAGTATGTTTGTTGCTCCTTGTTCAAGGGTTTATCTGAAAACAAGATTCTAGCAGAAGAAAGTTACCACAAGTATACTCAACAGAGATCCAATAAGAGCCATCACGAGACCTGAAATATGCAAGGCACAACTCAGAAATACAGAGCATACGCAGGTTTGCAGCAAGACAGATTTGATATGCCCACTCCACATTACCAAGCTTACTGCTATGACAAGTTTAAAATCTAGATTCCGTTAAAAAAAGGGTTTAAAATCTAGATAAAAAAGCATAGGAAAACACAAACGAAGGTTTTGATTTAATAACTGGATTTAACATGACAAACAAGTATAGTAAATTGCACATTAGACAACATATTTTGACTGGGTTGCGTAATACAAAGGAATTAGCAATCTTTGAGCATAGAACCACCTAAACTGACTCCACACTCCACAGAACACCAGTTTTTGACCATTTGATGGGAAAAAAGGTTTAGAAGAAAAAAAATATCGCATCTCAAATTGCATAAAGTTGGTATTTCTTCGAGCTAACTCTTCAAATGATCAAAACCCAGTTTTGTGGAACATTTTAATTATAGAGGGAGTGTCTGGAGGTGTAAGCGGCTAACCCACAAATCCAACGGTTTATTTTGGCCTATAAGTGGGTTCGCAGGTTAGTCACTTACATCTTTAGTGTCATGCACAAAAGGTACTTATAAGTACATGATGTTTTGAGAACTCAAGTAGAATATAGGTGGTTAAATGAGCAATTTACTAAAAAAAATTCTTTCTGAGAGAATGCAGCTAAGAGAGTTTCAGGAAAAATGAAGCAGAATTAGGTACATATGCCAGAAAATTGTGTATACGTACCGAAAAATGGCATAAGAAACGCAATGCACACGGTTGATGCAACAAGGGCAGTCCTCAGTATAATAGAGCAGATTGTTTCGTTCAAAAATCCTTCAGGGCGCAACTCCTCTAAACTCCGAGCCAATGGGTTTAACAACAGGGCATATCTGTTGTGGTTAAGGATCAAGCCATATTTTTTTTTAAAAAAAAGGATGAAGCAATTCCTATGAATAATTAGGCAGGCACATAAATAATCACAATGTAATCCTAGAAGCCAGAACACTACAAGTTTTGATATTCAAAAGGATACTTGGTGAAAGGGTTGATAACCTGAAACACATGACAATTCAATGGTAAATATTAAGAAAAAAAGAACAGTTGCAGTTTCAAAAACTGTAATCAACAATTCTCACCGTGGTCCACAGTGCGACCTTGGAGGCAAATGAATGTTTAGGAAGATTCAGAGTTATTTGCGAGAGAGTTTTATCTCCGAACATGAGATAGCCAATGATAGCAAACGAGCCATATATTGCTGTGCAAATTGCAAAGCTGCACGACATGATAATTTTAGAACATTGAAACATTTAATTACTCAACATAGTTAATCTGCATCCGAATGAAGTTCACACATACCATATAAACAGTGCCTTAGTGAATTTCGTGCGGTCTGACATTGATTGGTAAATATTTGGAAACACTGAGTGCCCAGAGTAGCAGAAACCATAAATGCCAATAGCAAACGGTATACCACCTAAGTTTACTGCTTTCCCAGTCAAATGAAACCCTACGCCATCAGTAGCGCCAACTAAAACGACAGAGAGGAAAACAAGAAGAGTTGCAATAACACCACCCGCTGCACAAGAAATTCAATAAACCTTGTCAATTCAATTTGCTGCCTTAATATCATTAATGATCGCAGTGAGAAAAATACTTGAGGTTAAGAGTGTTGAGACCAGAAAGGTAGGAGAGAACCCGAAGATCTCTCAACCATACTGTAGGCAAGACTATTAGAGCAGTCAACACTCCAAAGAAATGTTTCCCATCAATATGGACGCCAAGCCAATCAAAACCAATATGAGAGAAAATTGATGTCATATTATCTCCTTCCAAAATAATGAATTCCACACAATATGACTGCATCCAATGAATAACATATATAAGATAATATTTTTTTTAGAAAGGATTGAATAAGATAAAAGAGTGCTCAGTTGGATTGATCAATAAAAATAACTAGATGAATACCCCGCCGCATTGCTACGGAAAATTAAGTTATATAATATGTACAAATAATATGTAATATGATCAAAACTAAAACAAATTGGTACAATTTTGAGCCTAAAAATAATTAAGATTGCATAGTTTTATGAGAGAAGAAGAAGAGACAATTTGAACCATAGATGTATCATCTAAAGGCTAAAAATAATTGAGGTGATGTGGTTTAATGAGAGAAGAGAGAAATAGCATTAACTACACTTAGTGGGGATGAACTATATAGGATTAGATGGAAAACTTTGCAACATAAAGCCAGGTGAAAGCTACTTACATATAGCTCAGTATAGAGTATAATCTGCAAAAACATTAAAGAAAAAGAATCAGCCATTGTTTCTTCTCTACCAGAAGTTAAAATTAGTTGCACAAAAAAGTCTGATAAAGATCAATATAATATGCATTTCATCAGTCATGAGGTATCAAACATTGAAATGCCATATTTTATAGTTTACAAATATGCCATATGCACTCCTTTTTAGTGGGAGTCAGCATTTTAGAAAAGGAAAAAGAAAATCCAGAGCTTGAGCAGGCAGGTGTTTCTACCAGTTACTGAACCTTAAGAGAGCGCTTTTCATAAGCATGGATCATATCATCAATAATCGCATACAAGCAAGGTTATACAAAATAGAAAACTAATACAGCCTGCACAGTGGTCGTGTCTCCATTGTCCAGGTTAGTCTTACTCTTTGATACACTTGCACGAATTATTTCGTTTATTACCATCAATGGTTGTTCTTACATTGCAAAAAAAAAAAGGAATAGAAGTTTCTACAGATTGTCATTCTTTTAATTTAATGAAAATCCACAGATTATTAAAAATGACTTTGATTGGTGCTGAGATATTCGGATGCAATCTTGCATGCAATGCAATACAATTCACTTGATAGGAAAGAAACCAGGACTTACAGAGATCAGCAGACGACCAATCCTTCCAAAAGCAGCCTCGCCAATGTCTGGATATGTAGAAATACCATCTTTGCTCTCAAAACAGTGTTTCATCAGAACTCCAGTATAACAGCAAACAATAGCAAACATAGCTAGGACCGCAAGGCCTACCCATCCAGCTTCATGAATTGTAAATGGAGTGGAAAGAAGTCCAACACCAGCAAGTACATTAACCCCTACCAAAAGAACAAGTAAAACATTAAGCATTTCTTTTATCTTAGGCAGGTAATTGAGCAATCTAACATGTTAATGATAGTACCATTGAACACCGTCTGTGTCACACTGCATCCTTGAGCGATGTAGACTTCTCCAGTATGTTGCGTAAGTAACGAGCTTTTCCTATCTATTGCTGAACCAAGAGTCTTTCTCAAGCTCTTGACAGAGTCTTGCTTCCCATCTAGCTTATCAGACAACAAGGGCAACTTCAGGTCGGATCCCAGACTACTACGACCACCATCAAGGATCGAGTATTTGCTTGTAGAGGGACCCAAGTAACCAAAGCTCGGAGATGCAGCAATTGTATAGGTGTCAGTTGTTTCTCTGCAAAACAAACAGCATATCACCATCATAATGTTTGCACATAACGGTTGGGAAGAAAACAAAACATGTGGTTTAACAGCTGGCATTCATCAAGCTTGGGTATTAGATTGCCAGCAAAGCCCTTGTCTTAATTTTTTTGAGACAACCAAAAACAACTATACGATGTGTCAGTACAAACAATCCCCTGATCGACAAAGCAAAAATGATTTTGTACATATTAGTTTACCATGATCAGAGTCAGTGTTAATGAAAGCAACCAAGTCCACATCAGCACAGAACTTTCACTAACAACAGTTGGAATTGGCAGAGCAACACCACCACTAACCATGGCGCAGTAGAGCACACAAATCAAACGATGTCTGCACGAGGAGTCGATCAAACAAAGAGTGCAGCCATAAAATGATTTTGTACGTTAATAGTTTACCACCAGCAGAGGTTTTTTTTTTTTTGAACTAGGGCTTGAAAGCCCCCATTTCTATTATCAGAAATGCAACAGTAGTACTCTGCTAAAACAAGAGAAAGGAAAGGAGATTACAGCACTCAGGCTGTGAATTTTTTATAGACCATAGCACTGTGTTTCTTAAGCAAAATGAGAGGAATTCCACCCCACATCCCAACCTGGGGACACAGCAAGCACAGTTTACCACCAGCAGAGTTAGATAGTGTTAATGGTCAAAGTTAGTAGTATCAGAACTAGCGCAACAATATCCCATCCCAATCATCAGGAAATTGAAAACACAACCGGGTCCCCGTCAACATACAATTTTCACAAGCAACAGTGGAAACTGCCAGAGAAACCCCACCAGAGCAAACCGCCCCCACTAAGCACTAATTGAACGCAGTACAGCAGACAGATCAAACGATGTCTGCACGGCTGTAGTACGAGCGAGGAGGCGATCGAACAGTGATTGCGACCGCGCACGTTGCGGTTTCAGACCCGTGCTGTCGGAGCACTGTCGAATCAATCAGATGTTCTACGAGTGCTGGTAAATTCTAGAATCCAGGCCACTCGGATCAAACATGAACTGTTTGCCCGAACTATCCCAACCAAACACGTCAACGATCAATCTAGTATTATCCGAACAAGCGCTCAGTCCAGTCCCATCACGAAACTCACAAGTTATTCCGTCCAGTACAATTCAACGAAATCTACCCATCAACATGAGATTTCACAAACAGCGGTTGAAATCGATAGAACTACCATGAACCATCACCACCACCAAAAACAAAAACAACGCAGTAAACGAGGAGGAGGATGAAGCGGAGAATGCAACGACGTACCGGTAGCTCTGCGGCCACTGGCGGGACTGGAACGAGCGAGGCGATCCCAAACCTTCGCCGTCGTCATCCCGGTCGTCGTCGCCGCTCCCGCCGTCCTCGTAGTCGTCGTCGAAGCTGCGGCGCGGGCTCTCCTCGATGTCGCCGTCCTCCAGCGTCATCTCCTCCTCGTCCTCCTCCTCCTCCTTCCGGTGCTTCGCCTCCGCCGCCGCCGCCGCCGCTGCCATCTCGCAGTACGTTCACAGCAGCGGGCGAAACGCACAAGTGGAAGCACACGAGGTTGGAATTGGATTGCGTGTGGTGGAATCGGGGGGAGAGAGAGAGAGAGAGGAGGCTTCGGGAGAGATGGCGAAGCGGAGGCAGGTATTGATGGCTGGGATTGGGTTGGAGTGGCGCGGAGGCGGAGGAGGGGGGTGAAATAGGAAGGCGGGGGAGCGCGCGTCGCGACAAGCTGGCAGAGGCGCGGATTGGTCGGAGGAGGCGAGGTGGGCGTGGGCGCGGGGGTTTATTGAGACGGGGACCCCAGTCCACGTACGCTGACATGTGGGGGAGGTTGCGGTGGGGACGTTGGGTTGAGGCGGTTTCGGCTTGTGGGGGCGCGTGGGCGTGTAAGGGCCCGTTTAGTTTCCAATTTTTTTTCTTCAAACTTCAAACTTGTCTTTTATATTGAACTTTTTTACACACATAAATTTTCGACTTTTCTATCGCATCGTTTTAATTTCTTCAAATTTCTAATTTTGGCGTGAAACTAAACACAGCCTAAGAGCAAGTTTAATAGTATAGCCCACTACTAACTCCAATTCATCTATAGCCAATCTAATATCCAATTCATACAATAATTACTTACTATATTATTAATACATGGTCCCACCTATCCTATATATATTGTGTCTTAGAGTCTGTGCTGCAGCTGGCTATAGTTTTATAGCACGCTGCTCTTCTCTCTCATCATTTATCTCATTAAAATATGTTTGTAGCTAGCTAATAGTCTGCTATTGTACATGCTCTAATCCTTAGGGCTGACATGTGGGGCCATGTGGAGACTGAATTATCGTAGCGCAGTTGCAGACCGATCAGCTGATTTGGCAACAGTGATTTCTAGAGCACGGACCATTTTATGGATGGACCGAGTCCCTACTAGGATGGGCCCTAAATATCCCGGGGAGGTCCATACTAGCAGGGTTCGGCTGGACGACAAATGGTAGACATTTGAATCAGCTGCACATGCACAAATCAGTGAAGTAATAGGCTAAGGGCATGTTTAGTTCCTTAAAAACATCACGTCGAATCTTTGAATATATATATTAAACATTAAATATAGATAAAAAGAAAAACTAATTGCACAGTTTGCATGTAAATCGCGAGACGAATCTTTTAAGTTTAATTAGGCCATGATTAGCCATACGTGCTACAGTAACCCACATGTTCTAATGACGGATTAATTAGGCTTAAGAGATTCGTTTCACGGTTTTCAGGCGAGTCATGAAATTAGTTTTTTTATTCGTGTCCAAAAACCCCTTTCGACATCCGGTCAAACGTCCGATGTGACATCCGAAAATTTTCATTTCACCAACTAAACAGGCCCTAAGATAGCCTAAAATATCTCGCTGATACAACCAAATCACAAATTGCAGTGCCAGTGTCCAGTGTCCAATTTCCAGCAAGAAGAATATTGCGAACGATCGTCTCACCGTGCAACCGGCGAAAGAACGATGATGCCAAGGATCGAGTTCCGAGACAAGGCGGCAGCAGCAGCAGCTGGGCAGGTTTGTTCCATGCGGCTGGTTGCATGAATCATACATGTTACAGGGCTCCAGGCGATGGCCACTCAATATCAATCCAGTATCTTATGTTATCTTGTCAATCGGGGTGACGTGGAGACGCGACGGCACGAGAGCTGATCGATCGGCCGGCCCGGGTCAGCCGGGTAGCTTCCGCCAAATCGCAGTGACCACATCGCCGCCGAATGCGGAATCTCTGTGTGCAGCAACGGGCAAACACGGGATCGGGGTGGAGAAAGCTTATTGGGAGAAGTTTGTGTTTAGCTACAGTAGCTTTTTAAACTTCAGTTTTTCTTCTGGTATAAGTCAGTCTGGCTGATTGTGTTGTGTAACTATAATTTTTTTTTTAATATATTAATGCGTAATTTTTTTACGCGTTCGCAGAAAAGAAAAAAAAAAGCTTCTTAGGAGCCAATGGCATGCGTGCTTGTTCGGCAAGATCAGATCACCGCCACCTGCGATGATGGATCGATGATCGATCTGTTCCATAATAATAGACGACGATTATGTACAGTCTTCATTACGCATGTTCGCATTGGATTATTGCTCCACGATTATGATGCTCATGCTGAGTCATTCACAAATCGCAACCACGATGCCTATCGTCTTGGGCTCTTGGCCGACATCTCCGGGGTAAAAAAATTTGTACCAGAGCATTGACCACAAGCTAAATTAAGTTCCGATCGGTTAAGTTTATCCCAGATGTGGTTGATGTGGTTATTGGGGACCACTTGTACGAATTATCTTTTATAGTGGAGCCTGACAATGGGTCTGACGAGCCTGTACCAATGGATATGGAGAATCTGGATGATGGGACTTTGGAGAAGGAGGAGGGGAATCTGAACCAGGATTTGGGGAAGGAATCTGGAGGTGATCCTGGTAACAATTCCTTAATAGGTTCTGGTGGTCAGGTTAGTGAGAGGGGTGGTCCTTCTATACCGGCTGCTCATTTGAGTCTGATACCTGAATCTGATGGCTTGAATGTATCTGATGAGGAATTTGATGGCTTAGATGAGGATTCTGTAATGGTTAAGAAGGTTAATACCCAGCAAAGTCTAGGGGAAAAGCTCGCTGCTATTCCTGAAGCAGTAATTTCTCTCTCCAGGAAGAGCAAGAGAAGGGCAAGTGACAGTGATCAACTTGTTCTCCAAAGAGCTGAGAAATTGAAGGCTGATAAGAATTTGGACAACTTGCAGGCAAAAGGTAACTTTCATGATAATGTTTCTTTTTTACAATTTACAAATGAACAAATTTCTGCTGCTCTTGATAATCTTGGTGTGATCACTTTGGGTACGAATTTTATCTTAGATGATGTTATAAATGATTTAAATAGTATAGAGGAAAAGAGGTTAAGTAAATATGTTAGTTCTTCTGTTAATCAGGTACATACTTCAAATGTTGATAGTAAGATATTAGATGATCAGGTGGATGATAATTCTCTACTTCAACATTTGTGTGGTGAATTAATGGAGGAAGTGATGGATTTTAGTGCTGTGGATGATAATTATTCTCAGACCACTTTAAATTCTTTAGATACCTCTCCTAATAGTAAGAAAAAGACTAAAAGGGGAAAGAAAAAAAATAATATTTTTAAATGAAAGGGTTGTTCTGAAATTGTGATGGGTTTAAGGACCCGAAAAAACATAAGTTTATTTCTGATTTAACAAAGGAACATCACCTTGATTTTATTGCCTTGTCAGAGACTATTAAGAAAGATTTTAGTCCGGCTATTCTTAAAAATCTGTGTGCTGGCAAAGAATTTTTGTGGCATTGCAAGCCTCCTAGAGGTAGGTCCGGTGGTTTGCTTTTGGGCATCAATTTAATTAATGTTGATATTGGTTTGATTGATGAGGGAGATTTCTACATTAAGTTTCATTTATGTAATAAAGTTGATAAGTTTAAGTGGGCTTTAGTTCTGGTGTATGGGCCAGCTCAAAGTGAATTTAAGGATCAATTCCTTGCTGAATTAGTTAATATGTGCAGTCATGAAACCTTACCAATTCTTATTGGTGGTGATTTTAATATTCTACGTAGCCCTGATGAAAAGAATAATGATAATTATGATGATAGATGGCCCTTCCTTTTTAATGCTATTATTGATGGGTTATGTCTCCGGGAGTTACAGATGTCTGGTAGGAAATTTACTTGGGCAAACAATTTAGCGAATCCAACATATGAGAAACTTGATAGGGTTTTAATGTCCACGGAGTGGGAACATAAATTTCCTTTATCTTCTGTGGTGGCTCTTAATAGAGATATTTCTGATCATACTCCTTTACTTTTAAATACAAACACTTCTTCTTTGAGTAATGCTCAACATAGTTTCAAGTTTGAACTTGGTTGGCTTTTACGTGATGGCTTTGTTGATATGGTAAAGGAGATATGGTCTAGTGTTGATGAAGGCAATTCTGCCATGGAGCGGTGGCAGGCGAAAATTCGTCGTTTAAGACAGCATCTTAGGGGTTGGTCTAAACATACTAGTGGCTTGTACAAAAAAGAAAAAAAAGGAGATTTTAGATAAGTTGGATTTGCTAGATAAAAAGGCAGAAACTATGCTTTTGAGTCAGGAGTAATTGGATTTTAGATGGTTTTGTAGAAATAGATTATCTACAATTCTGAGAGAAGAGGAAGTTAAATGGTATCAGAGGGCGAAATCTAAGGATATTTTAGAGGGTGATTCTAACACAAAATATTTTCATTTGGTTGCAAATGGAAAACATAGAAAGACTAGAATTTTTCAATTACATGATGGTGACCAATTAATAAATGGTGATGCAAATTTGAAATCGCATATTACCACTTATTATAAAGGTTTATTTGGGCCTCCTGATGATTCTACTCTTCAGTTTGATGAGAATAAATTTGCTGACATTCCTCAAGTTTCTCAATTGGAGAATGAGGCTTTAACGCAGGTTTTTACTGAAAAAGAGATTAAGGAGGCGATCTTCCAAATGGAACATAACAAAGCACCGGATCCTGATGGATTTCCTGCTGAATTTTATCAAGTTTTCTGGAATGTTATAAAATGTGACTTATTAGATCTTTTTAAAGAATTTCATAATGGTACTTTACCTTTATACTCTCTTAATTTTGGTACGATCATTCTTTTACATAAGTGTGTTGAGGCCATGACAATCCAGCAATATAGGCCTATTTGCTTACTTAATGTTAGTTTTAAGATCTTTACCAAAGTTGCTACAAATAGAGTCATGACTGTTGCCCAAAAGGTAATTAGTCCTACTCAAACTGCTTTTATTCCTGGGAGAAATATTATGGAAGGTGTGGTTATTTTGCATGAAACTTTGCATGAGTTACATCGTAAAAACAAAAGTGCTGTAATTTTTAAGATCGATTTTGAGAAAGCTTATGATAAGGTTAAATGGTCATTTGTACAACAGACTTTGAGGATGAAAGGCTTCTCTCCTAAATGGTGTGAGTGGATTGCCTCTTTTATTCAAGGTGGTCATGTTGGTATTAAAGTGAATGATCAAACTGGTAATAATTTTCAAACGCATAAAGGGCTTAGACAAGGGGATCCTCTATCTCCAATTCTCTTTAATTTAGTTGCTGATATGCTAGCTTTACTAATTAAAAGAGCTAAATATAATGGATCTCTTCATGGGGTGGTTTCTCACCTAGTGG